AAACTTCTAAGAGGAGGAAGAAAAAGACTGTTTAAAGAAAAGTAAAGCTTCATCATTAGTTAAGAGTGCAGTTGAGTAAATCAGTTCTAAACCTCTCACATAGCAAGAGTAGTAATAGTAAGTGGAAGAAGGTAGAGCTCTATGGACTTGGGTTTTTCTGGTCTCAATTACTGAGCCCAGCCCTCCTATCAAAGAACCAAAACTATTAAAAGCAGAATGATTTTTCAGTATTTAAATGTGCAATACCTAAATTTGTTTTTAAATAAAGTCCCTAATAACCATTTTAGTAAGGTCTCAAACTTAAATATATGGAATTTATATGTATACATATTGGCATACAATGGTGCTTTAAAAACACATTGAAAACTGGGATTTAAAGTTTCTTAAATTGTTTTCATATATTAATTTTCTTGGTACCTACTAGAATACTTAAAAAATAAATTATTTGTAAGTGTTAAATTTTAACAGTCAAATTGTTACAATGAATAGACTCCAAAATTTAGGTTGGCTTAATTTTAAGCCATTGAAAGTTTTTTTTTTTTTTAACAGGGTTAAGATACTACTGAAATGTTCCTTCTCTTTCAGTAAAGTGCACAAAAATGAGTGCATCCTTTGGTGTGGCTATGACCTCAAGGGAGGCATAGAAGTCAATGGTGCTGGTGTCAGGTTCCTGACTATATTACTGAGGCTAGCAATCTTCTCTTCTAGGAGGTAATTTTTCTTCTCTGCTGTTTTCTGTCGCTGTTCGGTCATTTCCAGAGCTTTCAGCAACTGGGCATTTTCAACATACAAATCCTTCACCATTGCATCGGCTTTAGTATTCTTGCAGAGCTAGAAACAGAACCAGAAACACTGTGACTCCATTTCTGTAATTAATCTTTTAAATTTAAGGAAAGATATCAGGATAGATGCATTATAAAGGCAAATCATGCCTACCAGTTACATTCTTATCTTTTACAGTACAGCTTTAACATCAGATTCAGCATCAGGGAAACAAGAACAAACCCACTTTTTCCAAGCTCTTTGCATGTTTGTAGAAGTTACTAATATTTTTTTTTAAGAATTTTAATATTTATTTTTTAGTTTTCGGCAGACACAACATCTTTGTTTGTATGTGGTGCTGAGGATGGAACCCGGGCCGCACGAATGCCAAGCGAGCGCACTACCACTTGAGCCACATCCCCAGCCCAGAAGTTACTAATAGAAAGAATAGATTGCTGTTTGAAGACTCCAAAATGAAAGACTTTATTTCCCACCTAATTAAACTAGATGTATTCCTTTATTTTTTTAAAACATCACAAATATTTTTGTAACTTTAATTTTTGAGGTGTAAGGAGTGAATTGTATTAAACTCCATTCTTAACAGTAGAGCCTGAAGCTTTCCATTCGTAACTACAACCTATTATTCATTTCAAAAATGAGCTCACAAATTACAACAAAGAGATGAGATGTGAGCAGTTGTTTTTCGTCAGCTTCTCCCTTTTTGCATGGGGCCTTGCCTAGAAGGTATATACTAATCCTTATGGTTAGAACATATCATATAGGTTGGCGTGGGAAAACTTTTTAGCAGACATGGAATACTTTTATTCTTGCTCCTTTAATATCTTCAATCTCCTTTCCCATGTTAACTCTTCACTCGACTCCCAATTTCAAGCAGGGCATCTTAAAGAATAAATGTTTAAGGGAATAAAGACCAACTACAAAGTGGCTAAATTATTAGCATTTCAAAGGTCAATGATAATTTAGATGACTGGCAGGTATAACATACTAGCATTTTAGAACCTACTCTCTTTTGAAATACCACCTGTCTTGTTTCCTTTTTCCCTCCCTTCTTTCACTTAGGAAACAATACAATGGTTCCTCATGACCTACAGAATAAAATTCCCTTTTGGGATACCAAGCAAGGCCCTCTCTTTCGGTCCTTTCCCGTCTTTTCTCCCAGGACAGTAGGAACTGGCAATATCCATGTATCTAATAGATATCCACACCCCACATGGTGACCTAACTTCATGATGCTCTCATAGCCTAGAATGCCCTTCCCACAGTTATTCACTTGTTCAAATCTCACTCAACCCTCAAGATTTTATTTAAGAGACCTTCAGGAAGCTTTCTTTAAATCTCTGGGTTTTATCAAGTGTCTCTTCTCTGTGTGCCATTTATTGAAACAGGGCTGACCCTATTTTATATATTTTTGAACCTATCATTTGGTGGAATGCTTGGTACCTTGTAGGTGTGATAGAATTCACCTTCTATATGGGCAGGGATGTAATTTTGTTCACTGCTGCATCTCTAGTGCCCCATATAGGACATGGCCCAAAGTAACTATGTGTTGAACAAATGAGTACTTAAAGGATTGAATGGGAAAATGCTCACTGATAGGACTTTCTCTTTCTCCTGTTCATTAAGATATAGGGCAAGGAACATTCCTGTCTACACCTATTTCCAGACCCTCTCTTGGGGTTATCATTCTCAGGTTTTATTTATCTAGAAAAACAAGTTGGGCAATTTCCCCTGCCCCAGTCTGTCTCAATCTTGGTTTCCAGAGAAGCTGATAATACTTTCCTAGGAGGTGGTTCTCTTTGCATAGCTTTTTTTCTTGGGGAGGAATTTTGGGGATTGAACTCAGGGGCACTCGACCACTGAACCACATCCCCAGCCCCATTTTGTATTTTATTTAGAGACATGGTCTCATTGAGTTGCTAAGTGCCTCGCTTTTACTGAGGTTGGCTTTGAACTCCTGATCCTCCTGCCTCAGCCTCCCAAGTTGCTGGGATTATAGGCGTTTGCCACGAGTTCCTAGCTCCCTCCTTGCCTCCTTGTGTAGCTCTTTGGAAGATGCACAACTAACCTCTAACCACTGAAGTCACTTCTGCCACCAGCAGGTGGAAAGGATATGGCTTCTTAGTGGTCTGGCATTTGGGGTCCAGACTTTATACAAGGCACATCCTTTTAGGGCAATGAGATACTTTTTGAGCTTGCCATAGCTGTTGGAAACAGGAAAGCTAACTCTCCAGTCATTATCCACCAATATCATTTTTCTGTTTTGTTTAAATGGCATATTGCTTATGTTGGACAGAAAAAGATCTGTTAAGTATTCATTTTGAGCCACTGAACCTCATCAGGAATGCTTCAGATCCATGTTAACCACTGTTAGCAGATATTTATTTTTTAAACTTGGGGTGGACAAACATATACCTAGAAGAGTTTTGGAAAAATATAGAATATAGAATTTACCTTTTGTGGGCATGTGAGGGTGAGTGAATCCTAAGTTCTTCTAGACATCTATAGAATTTGCCTTTATTAGACAACACAAGTTAGCAAGTTAATGGCAAGAAAGGAATGTTAAAACTGGAATGTGGGGTGGGTGGAAGATGTGTCTGGGGAGGCTCACTTGTTCTTTGAGCTGATTCACTTTCTCTTGAAGAAGCCTTTTCACCAGTTTCAGTTTCTGTTCAACTTCTATCATTCGTTCCTCCATGACAGTTACCAGCTGTTCCTGGCTTCCCTGAAGGGAAGAAAAAAAGTATATCATCATTTGAAAATCATGCTACATCTAAAACACTAGTTGTTTATTCTCCCCACAAGATGCCTAGAGGAAGTACAGCCAATGTTTCGCCTTTTAAACAGGAAGGATGGATTTCTGATGAAATGGGGGAGTTCTGAGCACTGCATTGATTGCACATGTCAGAAAAGTAGTCCTATCAGAGAAAGAATCAAAGAGAAAACAAAGAATCTTACCTGTGGTATACCATTGTCCCCTGATAAAAAGAAAAATTCTTAAAACCCATAGTTGAATATCTGTGTGCACTTCATATATAGTAAAATGGGTATCCAAAGTAAATTAAAAGAGGGTGATCAACTCCCATCCTGATTTGGGTATTTATAATACTGTGGGTCTCTCGACAACAAAACAAACACTGAGTTTATTCAGGGTTGCTTAATGTTTCCATTCAGCTTGCAACACACGTCTGTTTTTCTTCAGAAATAACTGATTACTTTTTTGAGGGTGTTAGGGTTTTTTTCTTCATAGTAATCATATCTTCCTGCCAGTTTTTCTAGTCATCTGTTGACTTGTCAATGTGAAGCAAACATCTGGATTGGAGGATGGATTTATCATCAGAGTAAATTGAAAATTAAGAAGCCTCTCTCCACAGACAACTCCTAGATAAAGCCACTGGGCAGGAAGGGGCCCTAACTTTCTCCCTCTCCTCACACAACAGGGCTAGGTGTGTGGGTTTCTGGAAGCAGAGTGATGTAAACAGAGATTAGAGTCTGACTGATTGTCCCTCTCCTCAGCTGGCCTCCAACCCCTCAAAATTTCCAGAGAAAGAAGTTCACATTTCAAAAGGTGCTTCAAATCTTGTAGTTCAGGTGTTAATGGCTGATGGAACTTAAATATTCCTTTTTTTAAAAATTATTTTTTAAAGTATTGGGGATTGAACCTAGGGGTGCTGTACCACTGAGCTACATCCCCAACCCTTTATATTTTCTTTTGAGACAGGACCTCCCTAAGTTGCCCAGGTTGTCCTTGAACTTTCCACCTCCTGCTTCAGCCAGTTGCTGGGATTACAAGGGTGTGCCACGCCACATTGGCTGCTCTTAAATATTCTTAAAAAGGCATACTTTAAAAAGTACTCAGAATGACCAAATGTGTTAAAGCCAAAGTTTGCTTGGATATTAAATAATTAGCATTTAATTATAAAAGAAATAATTAACTCATGTGACTAATTTGAAGATAAAAGTTGTAGGAGGCAAAAGTCTAATGCAAAAAACTGAATTTCAATAAATTGGGCCTTGAACATCTAGGCCCAACAACAACTTTTAAAAAGTTCTATTTATTTTAAAAGACATATGGCTTTTTAAAGTTCAAATACAAATAAAAATGTTTGATTTCCACTTGCATAAAAAAAATCAAAATATAAAACCACAGTTACAGAAAATTCAAAGTATACAGAGTACAGCAAAAGAGTGGGGGAAAAGAGGAAAAACAAAGGCAGGCATATATTTAAAATTTATTTTATTGTTTCATCAAAAATTTCCTTTTTTCTGGCAAAAAGTATTATACATCTTATACAAAACAGTATAAATAACCCTGATTCTCTTCAAATTCCATATATAAAAGTAGAACCTTTTGTTAAAAATAATTACAACTTATGGAATGAGAAAATATATAGAATACATCCTTTCAAGAATCTTAAATCCACACTCTTTAAATGGTATAAATAAAATGATTTGTAACAAGCAGAAATTTGTGAATTTGATTCACAAGATCTGTCATTTCTACATAAATAAATAATACTGCAAAGGCTTAATAGTAAAAATCATAATAGAATAATTTTAAAGAGCACTTATTTCATGTCTCAGCTTATGCCTCTGTTAGTGTGGTTTATGTGTGTGTGTGGGTGTGTGCATTTGAGAGTCTGCCATAGTAACAAATGCCATCAATAGCAGCCCAGTTTTCACAGGTGCCCAATCCTTCTGTAGGAATCTGCATGCACTGCTCGCTGCTCCGGTAGCAAGGCCTAGAGAAAGAAGGCAAGTGGTATACTTCACCCTGATGTCAAGATTATGTATTTTTAGGGAGTCTAAATTCACACATTTATGATGCAATTTTTCAAAGCACACACATTAACACTACACTACATTACACACGCAAGCAAAGCAACACAAAGGCAGAAGACATTACATCACTCCACACAGACAACGTGCAGATTCCAATAATATTTTGTATTCTTAGAATTAGTGTCAGCTGGGCAATCAGGAATGGGAGAGTCTGAAGTGGTGATCTAGTCGGAGTAAGCACCCTTTGCTCTGGCTGGGTTTGTCTTTTTTTTTGTATGAAAATTTTAAGTTTTGGTCTAATCCTGAAGCAAATGGAGTAAAAGGATGTTTTTAATTCTTAAATACGGGTGGGTGGGTGGGTTGGGAAGAGCATGCTTTGAAAATAGTGTTTATGGGAAGTCAATGAATAGAATCTTAGTCAAATCATTTAGTTTAGACAGTCCATTAGAAACGGAAGTTAAGGTTGTATGGTCAATGATATAATGAAGAGTTGAAGCATTGACCATTGCAATTTTAATTTGCAAATTTAATTTTAATACTGGGAAGTTGAAAGCACAAACTTCAAAGTTTTGTTAGGAAGAATAGATAGCAGGAGTACCAAAAAAAAAAAAAAAATACTAACAAAGCCCAGATATATACTAGTAGTAGAGAAAAACAACTGTTCCTATGGATAATTACAGTGCTCACGTAACTTTGCCAAGCTACTCTGAAGGGATTAAGAAAGAGTTGGGGGGGCTGGGGATGTGGCTCAAGTGGTAGCGCGCTCGCCTGGCATGCGTGCGGCCCGGGTTCAATCCTCAACACCACATACAAACAAAAGATGTTGTGTCCGCCGAAAACTAAAAAATAAATATTAAAAAATTCTCTCTCTCTCTCTCTTAAAAAAAAAAAAAGAAAAAGAAAGAGTTGGGAAATTCCTTATCAAACGTTGTTGGAGAGGTAAGGTGTATAGAAACAGAAGTGCATCTAAAGCAGAAGGAATTTAGAATTCCACAAAAAAGTATTTGTTCTTTTTATTCCTAATTATGAATTAACTACATGGGCAAGACCAAAGAGTTATGAACTTCTGAAAAAGGATGATTATGAATGAAGCACCAAAGAGAAATAACTGTTTGAAAACTTAGGTAATATAAGATGGTATTTGGTAGTGACCCAGAATAAGGCTAATTCAAAGCCAATGGGAAGATCTTTATTTTCCTAAAAATCATTTTTCAAACTAGATTATAAAACAATTGAGCTTAATGATCATATCCACTAAGAAATATGTCACCAACTACACTTTCTTCTACCTTAATTGTGAAACACTCCACCTGTAAATTCCATGGATGTTGGTGGGCCCCACCCGTCTGGTGCAGTTAAGGATGTTTTGTTCCTAATGTAAATCCTAGAGCTGCACTTGTATTTTGTAGTATTTTTGACATGAGATGAGAATGATGGCCAATTGTACACTATGCTCAAGTGATTCTGATGCTTTGTCTTCTACTACAAGTGTGCAAAGGAGACCCAGAACATCTTAGAAGTGAAGAGCTGGAAAGTAGTGCTGCAAAAACAAAACAAAAACCAGCACTGCAGAACTCTGGATTTGTGATACAGGGAAGTTGTCACTCTCTAAGAGTAGATTTAGGTTTGTTGTCCCCACATTTGAATTGGTTTTATTTGAACTTTCAAATAAAAGTAAAATTAATTAGGCAATCTGAATTTATTACTAGAGGAAAAGAACGCTTCATACCTGTGGTGTGTTGGTTTCGGAGGTCCTGTTGTCAAGTTCCTCCTGTAGGTGCTCATTTCTCCTTTCTGCCTGTAGTAGCTGGTGTTGAAGCTGCAGAAAGTGCTCCCTGGGCACCATCGGACAGGCTTGCTGCTGGAGCAGCTGCAGATCCCAGTGAGGGGATGAGCTAAGCATCACAGTGGACTTCAGGTGCTGCATCTGAAGGACAAGGGCAAAAGCCTAGTCAGCAGCAGTGCCTTCTGTCACAGAGCTGCCCTTGAATGTGTCAAGCAATAGTGAAGCCTATAAATTTGCTAATGGCCCCACACCCACCCATAGCTTGGAAACAGGACAGCACATGAGCCCGAGAGAGATGTAAATGAGAAGAGCCATTTTGCTTAGGACATAATATAATCAAGAGCAGGCTTTCTCAAGATTATTAGACTTTAAAAAACAGCACTTCCTCATCTTGAGTGACTGTGGGAGTCTGGGGCACAATATATAGTATATCTGAATTCCATCTCATTTTTTCTTATGCTAGAATGTTTGATAACCCTCCTTTAAAAAAAAAAAAACTGAAGTTAGACTAGGGAAATAAGGGGAGTAAGTGATTATGTTTTAGGCTTGTGCTACTTTACTTACCATTCGTAAAGATTCTTATTTTCCAAACCCAAGTAAACAAATTTTTAAAGAATCTTTTCCTGAACTTAAAATTATTTTAACCCATCATTGGTTTATCAATAGATAGTGAAACCCTTTAATAGCACAAGACAGGCAATTCTGGGGTATAAGGCCATATCCTAGAACATCTGGGAACTGGAGGACAAGACAATGAGGAAATGGTATGTCAACATGAGAATCAAATTTAGGGAAAGAAAAAGGGGGAGACTGCATTTTGGCCAATGGAGCACGCCACCTCACATCTGTCAACACACGCAACAGACACAGGGCTCAAGGGAAGGCATGCAACAGCATGAGAAGAAGCACCTCCAGGCTTGAGTGGGGGAAAAAGAACTTCTAAAACTCAAACACAATTAAATGCTATGATGAAACTTCAGAGCCACTATCCATTTCTTTAAATTTCTGAGGTGCACCATTACCCATTTTGAAATACTTCTAGTTGATTCAGAAAAGCTACCACTTTATTTTTATGAATAAAAAATATGGAGAACTATGATCCCATGATTTTATACCCGTGGGATAATTTTCTTCATATAATGCTTTTAATACTGATGAAAATCCTAATGTAAATGCAGAAACGTATTCTAGAGTTAAAACAAAATAAAAATGAATACTGGCTCTTACCAGAAGTATTTATTCACTGGTATAGTCATCAGAAATGATTACAAGAACAAAGAGTTTAATGAGATGGCCCCATGCTATGAAAATTCATTGAAAGAGAATGTTCTACCTTCACACACTATCTCAGGCAGAGCACTGCACCCTTCTCTGCCACTTCCAACCACTGAGTTCTAGATACAGGTTAGCCATAGACAAAAACAAACAAAAGAAAATCACAGGAGTTAGAAAAAGAGGAAGAAAAGTAAGAGTTATAAAAGAGAAGGAACAGTATCATTTGGTTATGTTATATTCATGAATAAGAGCATATGAAGAGCTAACATTTACATTTTTCTATACATAAATTTAATAAACATTAAAATGTCTTAATAGCTTTACTTTTGCAACTGCATCCTCATTGTTATAATTTGGTTGATTTTGTGTGTGTGAGAGAGAGAGAGGAGAGAGAGACCATGGGGTACTCATCCCACTATAATTACTTAAAAAATTCCAGGTCTAGTATGGAATGGATCTGATGTTAAAACCCTTGCCACTGGAGATGCAGAATTTATTTATTAAATATTTTTTTTAGTTGTCAATGGAACTATATTTTATTTATTTATATGCGGTGCTGAGAATTGAACCCAGTGCCTTGCACATGCTAGGCAGGCACTTTACCACTGAGCCACCACTCCAGCCCTAGAATTTAAACTAAAACATTATGTTTCACTGTCTAAGTTGTTGGCTCTTACAGTGGCGTATAGCACACTTGAGAACTGCTGAGATGGTCTGTACCACCTCCCTCTTCTTTTTTCAATGTTCAAACTGAATTGTTTATTGAATGCTGCCTCATCTAGTTAAATCCCTGGAGTGGAAGTCAAATTCTAGCCCTAATTTGACTAGAATTAGTCTAGAATCTCCTACTCTGGTAATTTGCACACTTTCATTACACTGGAGTAGGATATGTATTGGATTACATCAGAGACTTTCCAACTTATATATAGAGAGGAAGAGAGACTTCCCCTCAAGGGAACTTGTACATCAGATCAGATCAGAACTGCCTAGAAAGCTTTGCTCAAATTCCCTGAAACCACAGATGTATCTCTGATGTAGACACATCTCTTTGTCTGCTCACCACCCCTAACCTCACCAGGTGAGAATCTCTGCCAGAGAGGAAGGACTACACAGATCCCTCAGGTAAGCTTAAAAAAAAAAAAAGATGATGTGAAAGCCATGGCACATCTCCAAACTCGCTTAATGTATAAATACTGTACTCTAATAATCCAATTTATAAGGCCAGAAGTGGGAATGGTTAACGCTTAATGGTTATTCTGTTTAGAGTGATAAAAAGGTTTTGGAAATGGTTGTATAACATTGTGAATGTAATTAATGCCATTGAATTTTAAACTTAAAATTGGTTAAAACAGCAAATTTTATGTTATGTATTTACCACAGTTTAAAAAATTAATAAGGTAATATACCCCAAACCATTTAACTGTTTACTTTAAACATGTGAACACCATATGTGAATTTATAGCTCAACAGAGTTGTTAAAAAATCCAATCTGTATAAATCTAGAGTTAACAGTTCTTATTTCCTAATGGAAGTTTCATTAGAAGAGTGTACGAAATGTTCTCTTTAGTGTTTGAATAGAACATTCATGCTTTTTCCTTATTCAGTTCCAGTGCCAAGAATACTCAATTTTCCTTATTTACTAGCAAATATTTACTACTGATCAAGGGAAAAAATGATAGGAAATTGCTTATGATGGCTAATAATATAAAGTGGGACTGAGAGATAAGGGGGCTTCCCAGGCTTGGGGAACAGGCGGAGAATCAGCCTCTTGGCAGAGCATTTGGAAAACATCCAAAGGTGTAATCACCATAGTAAGTATACCCTGTTACTTCTGAGTTAATTACCAGACACATTGGGCTTAGCTTCAGATATCTTATTCATTGGAATATATAATTATTTTGTCAGAAAAAAATACCTACATCTAAGTGTAGCCTGCAACTCAAGATTCTGAGTGCATTTATTATATGCTGTCAGAAAACATGGTTTGGGTTTCACTATTTATAATTTCACTAATCTCCCTATTAGTGAATAAATCGGAGAACATAAAATTGCCAGAAACCTCCGTGGTCATTTAAATGTCAATGTGATATGTTTGCCCTTATTTCTCACGTTATAAAACTAAGCATTAATTTTTAAAGTCAGCTAGCATGTATTCAGCCTTATAAAAAATATTTAAATATCTCTTCTGTCTCATTATTCTGGCTTAAAAATATTTCTATACAATTTTTAAGAGCATAAAAGATATTTTCTATGCATACTTCTCTACCTTATATAAAATTTACAGTTAACTAAATGTTGAAGTAATTAAAATACTTTTATCTACCCAATGCAAAATATCTCAGTTTTACTTATTAAGTTTTACTTATTAAGGAGGGCTTGTATATAAGTTGTTTTCTAATCTTCAATGGTATTCAGTAGTATCACAAGGTAAACTGACTGGAATTCAATGTCCAAGCTGACAAGTTTTCCAAACATTTTTACATTTATCAGATGTACCTTCCAAAAGGCAGTGCTGTGGTATAAGTGCAGTAATGAACAAAGGCAATTCTTCCCCCCGCCCCCAGGGCTTGGGAGTGAACCTAGGACCTTGCACATACTAGGAAAGTGCTCTGTCACTGAGCTACACCCCCAGTCCTACAATGGCAGTTCTTGAAAATGAACTTAAAAATGCAAATGCTCTCAGATTCCCTGGATAGATTTCCTAACTGAAGAGGTTGTTAGTGAAATACAGGAGTATCAGGACACTGTTAAATACACACCTATGCTGAGAGCTCTAGGCCCCTTGGCCAATATCAGGTAGAAGTTCCTGCCACTGAATTTGTTGAGGTACAGGTCTTGGCATTTTAGGATATTATTTCCTCTTCTGAAAAGCAGTATGGAATTACCTGATCATGTAATTAAGCAAAAATGTCTATTAAACTTGCTAAGATAGATCAAAGAATGCAGCCTGGAAGTATACTCAGATTTTCAGGACAGGAATTCAATGTCAGGTCTAGTTTCTTCCAACAAATGGCTCATTCATGGATTAAAATATTCTTCATAGTTAAGGACATTTGCTTAAAAACTTACCTCCAGTAGCTGCTCATCCAGTTTCACTTGTTTCTTTTTCAGGCCTTCGTTTTCCAAATGAATTGTTTCTAATTCTCGTTCAAGGGAATTCACCTGATTAACCTGTTAAAAAATAAAATTCTTTAATAAGAGAAAATAAACAAACATGAATCGCTCTATTTCATTTTGGTAAATTTGTATTAGTCAGAAATCTTGATTCTTGGAAGAAAATCAAGATAATTCAGCAAAGAAAAACAACAATGCAATTCAGTTCAATGCTGATATTTAAGTCATCTGGGTTAAACTAAAATTTAAGTAATGTAGATATCTTTAAAAATATATTTTTAGTTGTAGATGGGCACAATACTTTTATTTATTTATTTATTTTTATGTGATGCTGAGATTAAACCCGGTGCCTCACACATGCTAGGCATGTGCACTACCACTGAGCTACAATTGTAGCACCAGTAATGTACGTTTAATCATTACTTCTTGCATGTAACAGATTCTTTAAGGCAGTTGACTTTTAACCTCTGTGTCATCCACTGTAAGAAATGTTTTATTCTATAACCCCAAACCCACACTGTATGTGTGTGTGCGCACAGTTACTAGTACATGTCACAAAAAGAAAATGTTTATTAGGTAGTAATTGTCCTTACCAGGATCCCTATACTGATATTTCCCAGTATATTTCATTAATAAAAAAATGCTGATTTTAACTCAGTTGATTTACTGATCCTCTACTATAGATCTGCAATGGGGAAATCACTGTTTTGAGAGTATATAAATTTTGGTTTATATAACTCCTTTTTCGATTTTAAAGATGAAATTAGAAGATTTTATGGGTATCTACTTTTGGAATTCTCTTTATTACAATAGAATCTAATAAGCTACAGGACACTGGGATTCAGAGGATTGCTAAGTAGAAAACATGACACTATTCTAGATGATTTTTGCTTCTATTAAAAAGAGCCAAGGACAGCAGCTAACATTTCTAGGTCCATTTAATATTCATTGTTATTTTAAAACCCGTCTTAAGACTTTTCACTTGGTGAGATTATAGATGAAACTTACTCTTTTTCTGACAACTTTACTTAAAAGTAACTGTAATTTCAACTGATATTTCAACTTAGCATACCAATTTTCTTACTACAAATTGTTATACTTTCACAAGTAAAAAAATATGAATATAACAAAATATTGCTCATTCTTCCCATAATTTTAAGCAAATTTTTTTAAAAATAGGCATCTGTTCCATTGGCTCTTTTTTTAAAAATATACCTTTATTTTATTCATTTATTTTTATGTGGTGCTGGGGTTTGAACCCAGTGCCTCACATGTGCTAGGTAAGCACTTTACCACTGAGCCACAACACCAACCCCTTAAATGGTTTTTAAGAAGAGGAGGATATTAGAGAAAACTGAGTTTAAGTTTAGGAAAAGAAAAACAAGTAACAACAGAAATCATGAGAATAACATGATCTAGAACCTTAACTCCATGAGAAAAGTATAGAAAGCAACTGGAGCTGGGCTACAAAAGTTTGTCCATGTGGTAGCCAGCCTCCAAGATGGCACCCAATGGTTCCCACCTCACAGTCTGAATCTGTCATGTAGACTTCTCTCAGACCACATCAGGACTAATCTGGGTATGTACAGACAACAGCAAAAGTGATGGTATGCCACTTCCAAGATTATGTTATGAAAGGCAGTATAGCTTCTCTCTTGGTCTTTTGGTGCCGTGTGTCTCTTATTATCACCTCAAGAAGAAATCAGCTGCCACATTTGGGCTGGGGTTGTGGCTCAGCAGTAGAGGGCTCACTTAGCAGGTGTGAGGCACTGGGTTCGATCCTCAGCACCACATAAAAATAAATAAATAAAATAAAGTCATTTTGTTCATCTACAACTAAAAGAAAAATTAAAAAGAAAAAGAAATAACCCAGGTATACACATAGTGTATACCTCTCCAAACTCACCTTCTTATTAGTAGGAGATTGTTCTTTCTGAAACTGATCACATTCTCTCTTTAAGTTCAACTTTTCTTGCTCTGTGGGTTTCACAGTACCTGATGGGTTTAGATGTTTTTGGTGCTTGGAGGGAAGAAGGTTGGATTCCAACTGACGAACCTAGCAAAAACAAATGTTAAGAGGAAAAAATGGTTATGTAATCATGTAGCCAGAAAAAAATAAAAAATAAACATATGGGGCTGGGGTTGCGGCTCAGTGGTAAAGTGCTTGCCTAGCATGTGTGAGGCCCTGGATTCAATTCTCAGCACCTCATAACAATAAATGAATAAAATAAAGGTCCATCAACAACTAAAAAATATTAAAAAAAAATAAACGTGCAAGTAAAGTTTTAATTCAGTACTTGGGTTCTGTGTCATTAAAAGTCTTTTCTTAGCAGGGTGCCTGTATTCCTAGCTTTAGGGAGTCTGAGGTGGGAAATCATTTGAGCCTAGGAGTTGGAGATCAGTCTAGCTAGGCAAGATAGCAAACTTGACCACATATCAGAAACCAAAAATGAGAGCAATAAAAAATATTTTTCAGTCTAGCTTGCCAATTTTTTTTTTTTTTTTTGGTACCAGGGATTGAAGCTAGGGGTGTTTAATCACTGAGCCACATCCCTAACCCTTTTAAAATATTTTATTTAGAGTCAGGGTCTTGCTAAGTTGCTTAGGGCCTCACTAAGTTGCTGAGGCTGGCTTTGAACTTGTGATCCTTTGGCCTCAGCCTCCTGACAGGCTGGGATCACAGGCATGCGCCATCGCACCTGGCTTAGCTTGCCAATTGTTGAAGCTTACTTTTATGGAATTCCAATGATCCTTTCTAGGTAAATCTGGCTGGGTCTATAAACCTAACATTGTAAGTATCGGACAAGGTAGAAGGGATCTATCAAGACTCCAAGAGTCAAATTGTGATGTGATTATCAAGATCACAGACATAGCAGTCCTAGTCCCTGCAGCTCTGGCATGAGTATAACTTTCACAAGTGAACAGTCCCATCTATTCTGTATCAGACTGCTTGTACCTGAAACAGTACATTCGCACTATTAAGTTCCACGAGGACAGGGACCATGTCTTTCTTGTCCCCCACCATGGCTTCAGTGACAACAGTTTCTAAAGGAAAATCTGTGCTCTAGTTTCTCCTCAGTAGAGGTGCTGAAGCACAGATTAAATATAAACAGTGAACTTAAGAGCAGAAGTAAGGAATTCAAGCATAGTTTGTTGGTTGAAAAAGATCTTTAAAAATCACTTTAACCTTGAAATGCTGACTCTAACTAACTCCTTATAAGGAGCTAGACCCATAAGATCTGAGTCTAATTTTGTCATTTTTGTAACTTCTGGTCTGGGCAGCTATCCAATTGGAATAAGAACTATATGGTTGACATAATTTCTACGAGTCTATATTTTTTATATCAGGATTAAAATCACAGATTTATTTTAATATAGAACTCCTTATACAAAATGAAAAAAATATTTTCTAAACATACTTGGATAAAATTATATGTAAGTAAATGATAAATGATACACTCTTAAAATAAGTCTTCTTTCACAGGCTACTCAAATCTGTACCCTAGAACCACTTCAATCATATCACACATTCATTTTCATATCAAACTAATCCTTTTCAGACATATGTCATGATGTGCCAGCCTTTGGAGTTACCTTTTCCCGGGAGTGTGTGAGTTCTGCTTTGGTGTTCTGTACCACAGTCTGGAGTCTCTCATTCTCTTGCCAAAGCAGCTGTTGTTCCTCATTTATCAGATGATCCAACTTGTCCCAAGACAGCCTTTTCTGCTGGCTATGGAGCCCTGATGGATGGGTGGCTTTTTCTGGGTCCCAGTTCTTAAGAGAGAATAGCAGAGGTAAGCCTTAAAATGACCCTGATGGGTCATTTCTGTTTTAAGAATTGTATCCTATTTACCTAATGACATCAATACTCATTAAGCACCTTTCAACCTTTTTTGTGTGCCTAATGTGTATAGATATGAATAAACTATATTCTTAGAATATAGATATGATATGAATATAGATATGAATAAAACTATATTCTTGGAATTTGATTTTAAAAATCAGGTTTGGAAATTCTCTGTTCAAAATGGCCTTTGGGAAAACTGGCCAGTCAGGTTCAATAGCAAATAGGATTATAGAGCAAATCCCAGTTACTAATAGGATCCAAGTATATGGAAGTTGGTGGCATGAAAATTGCCTTATTCTTAGGAAGTTATCTTTGAACCTGTATAATACTCTTTTTCAAAAAATATACATATATTTGTATAGATATATACAAATGGACACAATGGCTTTATTTATTTATTTATTTAATGTGGTGCCAAGGATCAACCCCAGTGCCTACCATATGCTAGGCTAGTGCTCTAATACTGAGCCCTAGCCCCAGCTCCTGAACCCAGATTATACTATTTTCCGAGATCAGACGAGATCGGGCGTGTTCAGGGTGGTATGGCCGTAGACCAGATTATACTATTTTGATTAACAGAAAACACAAAAGGAACTCTGAAAGGCACTGCCAACCTGAAACCTTTCACCAGCCAAACTTTTTCTTTTTCACATATGAAATCATATCCCTTTTTAGAATCCCAAAATACATATTGTCCATGTAATTGAGGCTTGGATTCAGAAATGTGCTTTAAATTACCAGAGTGATATATTTTTTTGAACTAAAAATAATTTTAAAAAACAAAAACAAAAAAGCAATACAACTAAGTCAGTCTCCTGCCTTTTAAGCTAAATATGAAAAATAAAAAAGGTAGAATCTCATTTAGAAAAAGAGTCAGCTCAAAAGTAATTTTTACAATACAAACTACATTATTTTTAAAAAGTACCACCAAGAGATAAAAATAACTGAATTAGTGACTACTTTCACTATAGACAAAATCTTAACATCCACCTAAAGACTAGCATCTACAAAATTCTTAATTTACTTGTATACAGATTGATTAGCATTTGTGATAGTTTAAGATGAGATACTTTTTTTTTTTAAGTTGTTGACAGACCTTTATTTTGTTTATTTATTTTTATGTGGTGCTGAGGATTGAATCCAGTGCCTCACCCATGCTAGGCAAGTGCTGTACAACTGAGCCACAACCCCAGCCACTTTCTAACAACACTGTAATGTGCCAGCTAAGGCTTTAACCAGCTCTTCCTGGTCTTCCTGGTACCATAGGTGAAACCCATTAGGTGGCAATGAATTATCTCCTGAAATTCACCATTGTTGTTTTATGCAATAGTTTTCCTTCTCAGGAAAAGCTTACTTTTCTTGCAGCCCTTGTGTGTGTTTCTTGATTAATTTCTTATAATGTTTTTCTTGACTTAATTTTTTTAGTCACATTAAAAAATAGGATGCTCTTACATATCAAAGTTTGGAAGTGTTTTAATTTCATTACTACAAAACTCAACTCAGCTATGGTGTTTTGACTTGTTCAATACCAAAAAATTACCTTTTGATATACTTTATATTTTCACTTATATGACGTTCAGAAACAAGCATCTCTGACCTATGGTGACACAAGGTACATAAATCCGTCCCTTCCCAAGAGCCTCTCCTCTCACTGGTTCAGTGGGCACCCACATGGAAAGTCAGTTTGGCCCCAGAAGAGTGACTGTGAAACATATTTGCTGAGAACTTTAGGCAGTGGGAAGAGCAATCTGCTTGGCAGAGGGAAGCAGAAAGTGCTTCCATTCAAAAGTGTAAGTTTGCCCTTTGTAATAAGGAGTGAGACTAGCTGTGTGTGGATTCATGAAGGGGCTGGGACTGGTGGAATGCTTGGAGTCCCTCAGCTTGCCACCCCAGCTCCCTTTGGGTTGGTCACCTCCTGCAAGTTTAGAGGAATTCAGAGGCTTCAACTGCTGTAGTTTGGACACTTGCCATATCCCTGAGCACATCGACTGGGGGATCCAGATAGATCCACAGGCTTGGTGGGTGGCCATGTTCCACCTTCCAAGTACAAAAAAAGAGGCATTGGGAGTGAATGTAGTTGAACTGTGGATAACTTTGCCCTAGCACAAGCTAGTGGGCAAGGAAGGGTGGAGCTCAGCCTACAGACTGCCCTAACTGGTTTGGCCCCTTTGTGTTGGAGCTGAGGACGAACACACAGGACTGAAGCTGCAGCCTGCAACCTCGCCCCCCCCCCCATACCTGGTGGATTCCAAAATTAGAAATCCCAGAAAAAAGTATATCCACTTAAAATACTTTGGACAAAAGGAATCTTAGCCTCTTTTTGTTTCTGCCTTCATTATGTTCTATGTTGTTTTGTTTTCCCTCATTTTATACTTTTATCTAATTTTAAATTAAATTTTAAAAAATTATTTAATTGGATTTTTTCTTTCCTTCTCATTTTTATTTCCTCTTTTCTTTCTTCTTCTTCTCTTTTCCCTCCCCTCCCCACTTTTCAATATTTTAGTACTAATTTTACTTTAATTAATATGTCCTAGTGTAGCTTATTCTATATTATTTCCTCTCTTTGGTTAGTAGACCTGTAGAGGTAATTTCTAATAGGGTTTTTTTTTAGATGGACACAGTATCTTTATTTATTTATTTATTTATTATTTATTTATTTATTTATGTGGTGCTGAGGATCGAACCTAGTGCCTCACGCATGCAAGGCAAGCGCTCTACCACTGAGCTACCGGGGGTAATGGGTGGGTAGAAATGCACAAAAGTATGTTATATGCATTTACAAATATGTCACAATGAAATCCACATAAGTAATAAGAACTAATAAAAAAAGTATTTCAAAGGAACTTCTCTTTATAAAACAAGTGGGTATCAGTATTATCAACTCAAGCGGACACAAGAGCCAGCTGGGTGCCAGAAATGTTCTATATTTTGACTAGTGGTAGTTACACAAACACATTCACAAAAATACAACTATATGTAAAATTATATATATCTATATGACCACATTATAGAAGAAAAAGGTGTGCCTCAATAAAAAAAATTACCTTGTCACCCACATTCTGAAGTTGTTTGTGTAAAGACATCACTTCCTGTTTCAAAGCTTCCTTTTCCTGCTGAGTCACTCGGAGGTCAGATTTAATCCGAGACATTTGAAGATTCACATTCTGCAGGGTTTCCTCTAAATTCTGAACCTGCATGAAAAGAATAAGCTTACACTGCTACCCAAACCTCACGGTCTTACTGCCACCATGTCCAGGAATGAATAAACAGGGACTAGAGAACTCCAAGGCTCCTGCTTCTGCTTACTATATCCAGTTCTCTTTTCAGTAGTTTGGTGGAAACCCAGGATATTATGTAGGTTTACAAGATGCTAAATTATGTTTAGGAAAATGGTAAACTGTGCCTGGAGCAAGGTAGTGCTGATAGTCACCTGGTAGATCGCCAAGTGATAGCTGACAAAAGAGTGCCGACTGGCATCACAAAAGGTGGCTTCACTGTGTCCTGGAGAAACTGCATTTCAGCCTGTGGTATTGGTTTGTAAATGATCTCTTCATTGAAAATAATAATATATGCTTGTAGAATCCTATTTTGCACTGATATCTCATATATATATTTCCATTAAAACTTCAAATTTTGTAAAAGGAATGTTGATAGAGATCTTTAATAGGGCATGGACCTGCTTCAGAAATCCTATTTCTAAATTGGGAACAATCACTGATTTCAATATACTATTCTCAAGGTTTCATAATAAGTAATCTCATAATTAAAGAACTTTGAAGGAAATGTTGTTTGCATTATATGGACATACTATATAAAGTATATGTAAAATTGGATACTATGTGATCATTCTGAGCCCACCTGGAGTATTCTTTCCACTGGGATTTCTACTGGAAGACATAGGAAAATATTCATGTGGTGATGAAACAGGAATTGTCCACATACCTTTTCCTGTGAAGCTACCAGCTGTGACTTCAAGCTCTCACTCTGGTGCTCCCAAGACTTTTGTTCTTGCTTCATTGTAGCAATTCTGTGCTCTAAACGTCTTGATTTTGCCACCTGTTTCAGGAAGAGAAGCAGGTTAAGAAGGCATTTTTGCAAACATACCTAGCCTCAATTTATCAGCCTTTGCTTACACTGTCAAGAACAAGTACCATCTACATGGGAGATCAGGGAAAGGAAAAATAAAGTAGAAGTTTTCCTGACTCTGTTCTACTTCTAATTTTGAGTCTTTTCATTTTTGGGTTTTCCCATTTTTTTTTTTTCCCTCCCTGCCCTTTTTTTTTTTGGTAGTTGTAGATGGACAGAATGCCTTTATGTTATTTGTTTATTTTTATGTGGTGCTGAGGATCGAACCCAGTGCTAGGCAAGCGCTCTGCCGCTGAGCTACAGCCCTAGTCCCATGCCTCATATTTTGATGGTAGGAAATGTTGGGCTGGAAGGCAATTAGAAATCTCAGGAGTGTACTGTAACAGGAAAACACAGAATAAGGCAGGTAGGGAGAAAGAAAGCAGAGGTTTTAGAGCTGCTAAGGAAACTAATAGAAAAAATTGTCTATGAAATAGATTTCAGATTATTAAAAACAATGTATCAGTTATAGCATATAGAACAGTAGCATTATTGTATGTAGATATTATATATTTAAGCAGTATCCCGATATACTAAAATGAGACAAAGTCACAATCTTGGCTTCATGAGATCTAAGGTAATGTAAGACCAGCTGAAATGCTGTTCCAGGAAACTCTGGAACATGGGAGGCCCGTGGTTGAGTACCCCCAGAGAAATGCTCTTTAGGGAACACATTCCATGATGTGGTAAAATCTTATTGTTTTTACTACCTTATCCACGTAGCTATTTAATTCTTCACTCAGAGCTTCTTTTTCTTTCAGCAGTTGTTCATTGTAGCTTAGAACACTAGAAATTTTTTGCTGGAAGTCAGAGAGATCAGGACATCTGTGCAGCTGTAAGAGATAAACAAATGAGCCCCACCATCATCTCCTGGCTGTGTTCATAAAGAGGTATTTATAAACAGGGCATTTTCATGACTGCTGAGATTTCCCTATCTGTAGATATTTCAGAGGACATATAAACTCTTGCAGACTATAATTAACTTTAACAAACTGTTCCCTGCTGGCTTCTCTTTCACTCCCCAGTTCAGTGCTGCAATGTCTGCTCAGATGGACTCAGACAGACATTGTTAAATAATGATCCCAGCTTTCAATTTCACCTTCAGGGTAAAATAACTGTACTGCCATTCTGCCATCCATCTAACTTGTGCACAGTGACACATTATATTGTCCTCATGCTTTTTCAACTAGAAAAAAATCTTTTTTCAAAAAACGTAGGTCAAGAATATAGCATCAGCATGAACCAAATACAAGGTATCAACACAAGGGTTGTTTAAGAATATAACAATCTGTGTTTTCTAGCTTGTTTCATGTGCCCTTTCCTTTGGAGGATGCCTAAGTTGACTTCCCAGTAGAGTGTTGCTAACGTGAATGCTCGGCCTTCTTCCTCTCCATGTTACAAACCAGGCTGTTTCTTTGCAGCATCAATGTTGGTATTATTGACACTTTGGGCTGAATTAATTCTTTTGGCGGCAAGGGTGGGAGGTTGGGGGGGAGGGAAACTGTCCTGTACACTGTAGGTTGTTTTACAGCATCTCCAGCTTTACTCACTAGATACTGTATCCCCATTTGTGAAAACCAGAAGATCCTAGACATTGCTAAATGTGCCAGGGTCAGGGAACAAGCCCCCCATCTAATCCTGTTGATAATCATGGATTTAAAGAGGCCACTTGTTTCTTACACCTCTTAACCCTTCCCCACATTTTATAAATGTTTAATTTTCCACCCTTGCACTTGACTTTCACATTTTTCAGTTCTTTAGTATCATTCCGACAGGGCCATCTTTCTATATCCTGCTTGAAGTTGTTTTACATTTCGCTTTAGAAATAGTTATGACAAATAGATTTTACTGGTTGAATCTTGTCTTCAATTGGCAACAAATCTAACATACTTTGGAAGAATAGGCCAGAAGGATATATTGGTCTAATGAAGAGCCTTCTCCTTCACCCAGGACCTTGCAAATTCCCAGAAAGCTTATTATCATTTTGGATGTCTACAGACTGACATGTGATTTCTGCGGATGCTATTTGTGTTTCTTTTCAGTGCAATAGGTAGAAGGCATAGAAGTGCTTGCAAGCTATGATCCATGATATCACATACAATGGCACATGCTTTCTAGGTCTGAGCTGTAGGCAATGACAATGGGCTGACCTTCCCTTACTCAGGGGTCTGGCGCCTGACGAAATAATTACAAGGAAGGACGCTCAGAGGCACCACCTTCACCTGTATCCTCACAAATCAGAGTAAACAGAGTAAGGAAAGTTAAGAGCAGAAGTCACCTTCTTTTTAAACAAACTAATGCTACTTTTTTTCTCCCTGGCCAGGAGAAAGTAGAACAACCAATTCCTTGGGTTGAAATGGTTGGGCTTCATTTACAGTAATAGAATTTTGGAGTCTACAACCTTAACTAGAAGGAAATATGGATAATTACCAATAAGAGCTCTTGCGAATGGACTTGTCCTTTAAGTCCTCAGCTTTACCAAGCAATAAGCTAGTTGAGGGGACTGAGTGCAAAGGATGTTTGGTGCTAGAAACACCAGACTAGGGGGGCACAGTCTGCTCCCTCAGCCCCTCTAGTGGTATGCAGCCTTACTTGTTTCATTTTCTCCAGTTCATCTTTGAGAAGGAGGTTCTCCTGTTCCACAATATGAGTCTGTATTTTAACTTCAGAAAGTTCTGCTTCCAAAGAAGACACTAAAGTAGAGGACTAAGAGAAAAATAAAAACTCAGATAATAGATACATTCACTCAGGCTGGGGAGACAGACCAGGTTCACAGAGGGCAGTAAGTATGAAGGAAACAACGACACCAATTCAACCACAGGCTGCTTTATGAACTTTGTCCTTGTTTTTAAAGGAACTCACTAAAGCCATCTTAAAAGGCTTTCCTCTTAAATAACATGAATAGGATTCCTAAGGCAGTTTTTGTACATTTCTCCACTATGGGGTTACTTTTTCTTGTCAGAAAAGCTTTTGAGGGCTGGGGATGTGGCTCAAGCAGTAGCGTGCTCGCGTGCGGCCCGGGTTCGATCCTCAGCACCACATACAAACAAAGATGTTGTGTCCGCCGATAACTAAAAAATAAATATTAAAAAAATTCTCTCTCTCTCTTTCTTAAAAAAATGGGTAAATAAAAGAAAAAAAAATCTTTCAAGTTTAAAAAAAAAAAGAAAAAAGAAAAGCTTTTGAGATTATGAAATTTCTGTTTTCCAATTTTCTGCTTTATTAATGTCTGATTAGTGGATTTTGGCTACAATAATTATTACTTGGGTGTTTTGCCTAGGGATGATTTTCTGTTTTTGTCTTTCTACATTTTTTAATTATCATTCTGAAATGAATTCTGTAAATTCTCCCTATTTAATCAATTTTTATGTTAATATGGACTCAGGTATTTATTATAGTCTGTGTTTACTTTATTCTATTATATATCTATTTTGTAGATGACTTAATTCTTTTTTTCCTAAAATATGTTTCTAGTTATAAATGGACACAATATCTTTATTTATTTATTTTTATGTGGTAGTGAGGATTGAACCCAGTACCTCATTCATGAGGGGCAAGTGCTCTAACTCTGAGCTACAGCCCCAGCCCCTCACTGAATTCTTTTCTTCCCCAGTGTGGCTACATCCTGCATGCTGTTGGGCTCCTGTAGCGTTTATGTTCCATTTTGGTACCCTCCCCATCCCCACATCTTGAATGGATTCACTTATGCTTTTCTTGTGAGAGTACTGGAAGATGTAAAACAGTGCTGGGGATGAGCAGCTTCATGAAAATGAGTAGGTACATGGGTATTTTCTAATGTCTCCTTTCTCACATATGTGGAGGCACATAGAGATACTCTTGAATATTTTTTTCACGTAACATTGTGTTCTGGAAATTATTTCACATAGAGAGCTTTCTAATTTTTTTCTCGAACAGTACTAATGTGGTATGGATGTACCCACCACATTTCCTCCACCACTCCACTGTGTAGGAGCATCTAGGTTGTTGGCACTATTTTGCAATTACAAACAATGCAGCAATGACTAACCCTGTGTATATGACCTTTGATATTGTTGCAAGTATACCTTTAGGTTATATTCCTAGAAGTGAGATTGCTAGGCAAAATTTTGTTATTTATTGCCAAATTTACCTGTGCACTGATGATATAATTTTGCATTCTCACCAGCAATGTATGAAAATGTTTGTTTTTCCACAGCTTTTGCCAACAGAATATGTTGTCATATTTAAAAATTACTGCTGGTCTTTTAGGTGATAAATTTCACATTAGTGTTGTTTAATTTGCACTTAACTAATTATGACTGATTTTGAACACTTTTTCATAGATTTGAAGACCATTTTTATCTCTTTTGTGAATTGTTTGTTCATATCTCTTTCCAATTTTGCTATCAGATTTTATATCCTTAATTTTTAAGAGTTCTTTACCCATAGAGGTATGAGCTCTTCTCTCTGTAGTTATGTTGTAAATATTTTCTCCTACTTCGTCAGTTGTCTTTTGACTTTATATAATTTTTTTTTGCCATGCAAAATTTTTTTTCTTGTATTGCCCTGTTTTAGAGTCATAGTTGGCCTTTTTTAAAATGATAGTTAAAGGCAAATTCACCCATCATGTTTTCTTTTAGTACTTGTACTGTTTTTTTTTTTATATTTAGACTTCTAATACAATTAGAATGTATCCTTATATATGTTATGAAACATGGATCTAATTTTATCTATTTCCAAATGTCTATGCAGTTGGTCAAACATCACTTATTAAAATAAAGAAGAAGAAGAAGAAGAAGAAGAAGAAGAAGAAGAAGAAGAAGAAGAAGAAGAAGAAGAAGAAGAAGAAGAAGAAGAAGAAGAAGATCATCCATCTTTACTCCAGCAGTTTGAGAAGCCACCTTTGTCACCTACTGTTATTTCTTGGCATGTGTGGGAGACTGGCTCCAGTACTCTCCACAAATACCCAAGCCCCCAGATAACCAAGTCCCTTATGTAAAATGGCATAGTATTTACGTATACCTATTCACATTCTCCTGTGTATTTTAACTCATCTCTAAATTACTTATAATACCTAGTAAAGTATAAATGCTATGTAAATAGTTGTTATAATGTATTGTTTAGGGAATAAGAAGAAGAAAAAGAACTCTGTTCAGTTCAGATGCAATTTTAAAAAACAGTTTTGGTCAGAGGTTGAATCTATGGATGTAGAAACCATATATTAGAAGACTGACCATACTAGGTATCCATTAGTATTTGTATCAAATTCAAGACTTTCTAGTCCATTTATCTGTCTGGGATAGGGATTAATGTTCCAGTACCACACTGTTTTAATTATTATATTTATGCATAAAAAATTTAATACAAGCATTTCTTCTAGTTCTTGAGATTTCCTTAAAAAAAGGAAAAAGAGAGAGAGAGAGAGAGAGAGAGAGAGAGAGAAGTTGTAGGGTGGCTGCAGATCATACCTGCACTTTACAGTGTTCTAGTTCTTCTTTCAGATCAGACTTTTCTTGTTCCCATTCCTTGAATTTACTATTTCCTGGCTCTTTTTCCTTCTGGCATAGCATTGCTGCCAGACGTTGATTAAGTTCTTGCAATTCTTCCTGGTTTTGAGAGTTCTTTTGGCTAAGCTCTGCATTTTCCAAATCCAACTGTTGGTTTTTGATTTTTAAATCTGAAATCTAATTAAAATTGAAATACATTTTTAAAACTTGTTACCCTGCTTCTGCTAAAAAACAGACTTAGAAACTAATTCTTTTTTCCTTTCTATATAAAGTTTAAAAGTAAGTATAAATAATAACAGAAAAAATATGTACCCATTATTACAAATTCGGTCATTCAGAAGTGTATGAGACACAGCTTAATCCCATCCTTTAGGATGATCTATTGTTTGCAACAGGATATGTAAACCACTAGATCATTTTCTATGAATACACATTTCTATGAATATATAAAACCCACATACACATAGAGATTCTTTTCTCTCTTTTAAGCAAAAAATTAGATCATTTCATGTTTGGATAGCCTGCTTTTTCCACTTATAATATCTTACAGATGCTTATGCTTTCCATGAGTGTTTGGAAATTATGTGTTTCTTCTTATGGTTATAGGATATCCCAAGTAGCAAGATTTTCCATAATGTATTTAGCCATTCTGCACTGATAGACATATAGGTTTGTTATAATTATTTCCTTTAATTATGAGGAAACAACCCATCTATATCTGGTATCATTTTACATTTAGGATAATATCTCTTAGAAGCAGCGTTGTTGGGTTAGAAGGTATACATAAACATTGTTGTTTTGATAGATGTCTCCCAAATCTGTTCTTCAGAGTGCTACCAATTTACAATCCTATTGGCAATGTATTTCTCGTTTCCTCACAACCTTTTGAATCCTAGATGATATCAACTTTTAATTTTTGCTAGTTCAATTGAGAAAAAAAGAAACTAATTTATACTTCCCTCGTTATTTTGAGGATACCCATCTTTTATGTGTTGTATTATTTTTGTATAATTAGAGCATTCAAACTGATTACCTATTTTTCAACTGGGCTTTACCATTTTTCTACCTTTTTTTTCTTTTTTCTTTTTTTTTTTGTGGTGCTTGGGATTGAACCCAGAGTCTTGTGCATGCAAGGCCAGCACTCTACCAACTGAGCTATATTCCCAGCCCTGCTTTACCATTTTTGTAAGAGTACAAAATACATTTTGGATGTTAAAACCCTGTACATTTCAAGTGCTGATAATACTCTTTTCCCAGAATGTTCTCGTCTTTTGACTATTTCAGACATAATCTTAAATGTTCTTCACGTGCTCAACTACATGTTACAAGATTATATAAAATGAACATTGAATGGCACAAGCTATCTGAATAAATTATGATTCTGTGAAATGATATGCTGATTAGCTGGCATTCCATATCTGTGAAATTCTGTCCTTATCTTTCTGCTTTTAATCATGATGAGGAAAAAGAAAGGAACTAACATTGACTGAAGCTGCACAAGGGCTAGAGCTAGTATTCTAGGTGTACTTTAGAGGTATCCCAACTCCTGCTGGTTATAAAGCTTGCATTAAGCACACAGGATCTAGAAACAATATCTACATTATTTTCTAAACAGAAACCCAGTTTAGAGTCAATGAGAGGTGAGTTTCCATTTTTAAACTCAGAATTTACAACTTTACTATCATTAGCAATGTACTATTCTAGGAATATATTTAATTACTATAAATTTGTAAATTTCAAATAAAAAAAGGAAATTTCAGAATCAAGAAACATTGGGAAATACTGTTTCCTTACCTGTTTTTTTAAATTTTCAACCACCTTCTGAACTTCAGCTTTTTCCTGTTTTACAGTTTCTATTTTTTGCCTAAAGGAAAAATGAAAATTTAATTTGGGGGCTAGGCTTTAAAAGTTGAAGTTAAATAGTTTTTTAGTCCTTACAAAATGTCTTAAGAAAATTCAAATATACTCTGTCTTACCACAGTTCTTCCTGAGATCCACTTAATTTTCCTAATTTCAGGCTAGAAATGCTATCTTCTTCATTTAAAGTAGTAATTTCATTTCTCAAAATAGAATTCTCCTCTTGAAGCTTTTCAGATTCATATCTGAAGTACAGAGATTTTTTTAAAAAGTTATAAGGCAGTCATCTGGCATCTTTGGAAAATATTTTTTAGTAACTTCCAATAAAGTAAGTATTGCATGCCAGTTAAAAAGAAAAGTCTAAATTAGTGGTCTCTTGGTCCTTGGAAATCAAGTTTTGACATAACGATTTACTTCTTTTGGGAAGTAAGAATTTCACTAAAAGACATCAGGGGAGTGTGGCTAAAAAAAAACTTGAGCATGGAGATGGGCATTGAGATTCAATATCAATCTGGTGGTTGATTTTCTCAATGGCAGGCATATTGCTTTGAACAAATGGCTTTATTTATCTCAGTCTCAAGGCCTCCCTGCTCTGAATAGACATAAACCAAATTACTAAGCTGTAAGAGTTTTAGTTTTATGCCCACAGGGATCTACAGAAAGAAATTTTACTACATTAATCAAAGGGCCACACTGAAATACGTATACTGTTTACTTTGAGATTCTATTCATCTCATTATATGCTGATGTTTTGAACTAAAAATGGCCTGAGGAAGGAGAAACTATCTCAGAATTGTTTTGTTTTATACCATTAAGATATTTTAAACATGATGTAATATTTTACAAGATGTTTTTAGATACCAATTTTGCTAGAAGATTCATATTTCATAAAATCAAGTGGGCAATAGTTTACATTAGTTCTATCTTTGTTGCTACTCTTTAAGCATATTTATTAGAAACTAGGAGCTCCTTGGTAAGTATATGCTCTAAGATAAATTTCTATTGTTTTTTGAATATCAACATGCACTTCAAGTTATCTAAGTGAAAAACTATAAGCTACAAAACATCTTTCCTATATTAGTATAAGAATTTTTAATCTACCAAGAGAGTTAATAATACACAAAAGCCATTCATGCTCATATAACGTGTTTCATCAAAATTAGGAAAGTAATTGACATTGAGCAAAATAATAGCTATCCATCCAAATAAAGTAAGTGCTAGAAAAGAGGTAAAGTTGTACAGTGGTGATGCATGTGGTTAAACAGCAAACACTCGCCATTTTGAACTTTCACACTCCATATGAACACATTTATTTGCTACAAGGAAGAGAATGCCTCCAAGGCAAGGTTATTTGTTAATATGACACAGAAGCAGAAGGAAGTCTAGGGTACTGCTCTTTTCTTGAAGACTAACAGGTTAGTTTCTCTATGTACGGAAAGCAGTGCAAGTTAGATTCGATCAGGTGCTCTGTGGGATTCCGTGAAGTCTAGAATGTACATACGTTACCTCAGAAGTTCAACTTTCTGCTGCATCTCACTGCATGTGATTTGCAAGTCATGCATCATTGCCTTCAGCTCTTCCTCCTTCTCTCCCTGAGAAGGTACATCTTTCTGCTTAACTAAGGTAGTGACTCTCTCCCTTAACTTTCTAGTCAGCTCCTGTAGCTTCTGTTTCTCCAGTTCTAACTCTGCTATTGTGGCCTGACGCTGAACATGTTTATCTTGAAGGCCTAGGAGAACAGGGCTTTCCTCCAGTATAACTTGAGTCCCACCTCTGGAATTTTCTTGATATGTCTGAACTGTTCCATACACCTGAGGGATTTCATGTGCTTTTATTTTTTTGGAGATTCGCGTTCTGCCCTGCTCAAGGCCCTGGTTTTCTTGGTTGCATTCTTCTAAAATATGGCATGCCCTCAAAACCTCAGGCACACACTCTTCCAGCGTCTGATTGAGTTCAAGTACCTTCTCATCACACTCGACCTTCAAGTTGTCTGAACAGTCTTCCCACAAGGAGAAGGAGCCACACTGCAAGGCTGCTCTTTCCTGCAGTTTTTTAATCTTCCCTTGAAGCTTCAAAACCAGAACGTTTAGCTCCTCGTTTTCTGTTTTGACCTCATCATAACTCTTCTCCAGGCTAAGGAATGTTTCAGTCACTTCTTCCACTTTCTTTAGCTCATCCTGCAACCTGAAAACCTCCACAGTGAGCTCTTTGTTGTTCTCCAGAGCCTCCTCGTAGCGTGTCTCCATCACTCTCAGCTCTTCCTGGAGGCAGTCATTTTCTCTGCTTGCATCTTCATATAGCAGCTTATACTTGGGAGAAGCCTCAGGGATTCTCTCAAGCATTTTTAGTTTCTTTTTTAGCACAGAAACATCAAAAAGCAGGTCCTGTTTCTTTTCAGAAGCTCGGTCACAATCTGCGCGTAAGATCATTAGTTGCTCCCGAAGCTGACTAATCTGATTCTTCAGGTCCCAGGATTCGGTCCTGGTCTCTACACTGTTTTCTAGCTCAGAAAAACTCTCTATAGAAGCTTCAGACTCCTCAATTTTGACCTCCTGTCTCTGAACAGAGCTTGTCGCAGTACTCCCCAGGTCCTGGACCTCATCATCTTGCAAGTCACTTAGCCTGCATGGTGCAGTTTCACCTTTTTCTTGCTTCATTTGGTTTGGGGATGAAAATGATTCTGTCTGTTCCATAGAATTTCCAAAAAACTCAGTAGTTGGCTCCTCTAAACAAGATGACATCACCGACCCTGGCTCTAGTCTTTGCAGCCTCTGCTGCAATCTGGAAATCTCAGAAGCCATTTTCACATTTTCCTTCACTGCGCGTTCATGAGCTCTCTGCAAGCTTACAAGGACATCTCCGTTTTCTTCCAACAGCTGTTCCCCTTGCTGAAGCAGGGACATGGTCCCATTTCCTTCCTCCTCATCTTCTCCTGTTGTTTGACAGCTACCCTGAAGCCTGGAGAGAGGATTTGCTGCCTGCTGCATGTCCTTAATTTTATTTTGCAGTCTGGAGATTTCTGTGCTCATCTCAGCCCTCTCTTGATCTGCTTTCTCACAGGTCACTCTGTGGATGGTCTCCATGGCCAGAAGCTTGGCCACCATCTCCTGCCTTTCCTGTTCACGTTCCATTTGTAACTGTTCAAGCTGTTGGCTGGCCAGCTGTTCTGAGGCCCCTGCCTGGCAGAGGACCTGCTCTCGGTCTCTCAGTTCTTTTTCGTGACTGCTCTTCAGCTCAAGTATCTGATCAGACAGTAGATTTTGCTGACTTTCAGATACATTCCGTAGGTCTTCCAGGTCCTGGAGCAGTTGCTCTCTCTCTAGGACCATGCTGTTTAAATGTTCTTTGTATGTCTTCTCCAGCATCTCTCTCTCCTGGGACAGGACCAAAGAAGTTGCTTTCTCCCTCTGAAGAGTCTTCTTAAGCTGCTCCTGGGCTTCTGCATACTCTTGGGTGAGCTCATCCTTCTCAAACTGCCACTGAGATTTCTCCTCCAGTTGCTGTTCTAGAAGGTCCCTCAGCTCTTTGCTGTAGCGCCCCTCTAGGCTTTGCAGAGCATTTTCACATCTCTCAGTGACTTTCTGACAGTCAGCCTGAAACTGGGCTTCTATATGAGAAGTTCTTCTATTATACTCTGTTTCCATTTTTTCCCTAAATGTGGTCAACATACAGTATTACTGAAATTGCCACCAACTCCAGAAACAAACAAAATACATTTTTCCATGCATAGAGGAGGCTGCCAAGCAAACAGTTAAAATTCTTTCTAAAAATGTTCTTAACTTATTCCTCCATGTTTCATGTGTACTGGGAGGAATCACATTTCTAAAAGTTAAGAGTGGCAACTACAATTAATTTGGAAGACAGCTCTCTCTGAAGTTAGGAGAATATTTATGAAACCAAATTCTTTGGCATAGACCTGGATGTACTCACAGATTTTTAAACCAAAGTCTTAAACTGGTATTTCATATGAAATGATGAAATATGTATTGACCTAACCCCTAACTTGGGAAATATATAACACTGCTTCATTTTAATTAAACATGCATTGCAGGATATTAGTCACTTAAATCATACATATTAACAAATTCATTTTGGGTTTGTTTCTTATTTAATAAAATAGCAGTATGTCAGGGAGTGAAGCACCAAAGCCCTCAAATGAACTGGGATTTCACAGAAGGAAGGTGAGCACAAATTGTCATTTCGTAACTCTGGGAAGAAATGTAAGGTTATAAACAGCCTTTCTTAGAAAGCAACCGAACCAAAGTAGGAAGAGACCACATTTTGGATCATCTTATCTTCATCTGGAGCCTTAGAAGATAGATTTTAATACCAGAACCACTTTCCTGTTTTAAAAAAAAACAAATAGTTCCAATACTCTCCAAGTTAAGCTTACAAGGGCAAATCAGTTGAAAATTTTAAGAAGAATCTATACAACCCCTGGGCTACTCTGCCCTCTGTTTTTTCCAGGCCTCCTTCACTGACTGGAGCTTCTGACGCCCTGAGGGGATGCGCCTGGGTTGCTTGGCTCCCCTCACATCCTTACCTTCCCTCTTGAAGTTCTCTTTGATGCTTCTCCAAGAGCTCTCTCCTCAACTCCTCTTTCTCAAGAGTGTGCTTCTCCACCAGGCTTGTCAGCTGCTCCTGGTGAGACTGCTCTAGGTCCTGAGTCAAGCCCCTCACCTTCTCCTCCGTCCAGGTGCTACTCTGGATGAGTCCTTCCCTCTCTTGGCTAAAGCCTTCCTCCGCCTGCTGCAGTCGGGCCTTGAGCTCCAGCTTGTGCTCCAGCCTGAGCTCCTCCCTCAGGCGAGCCTTCTCCTCATCCCACGTCACCTGCAGTTGCCTCTTCTCCTCCTCATGCTGGCAGCAGGTCTCCCGGTGCGCCTCCTTCAGTGCCATGACCTGCCCCTGGAGTTCTGCAATTTCACTTTGAAGGTCATTTATTTGTTTTTCCAAGGTGTGCATGCCATGCTCGTACTTCTGCTTCATGGTCTCCTGCTCCTTTTCACAGGTGAGCCTGGTCTCTTCCAACTGCTTTTCATAATGGCGCACCTACAAGCAAGACAGGAAACCACCACAAGATTGTTCAGCTCAAGGCCATGGAAAGGAATGTGATGGGGGCAGCAAGTGTTTTGTTCTGTAATCATTTCTGAATTTTCACACTTTGAAAATAACTTATTTCAAACACCTTAAATAAGATATCTAAGTCTGGCATAATTTTTTTTTTTTTTTTTTAAAAAAACTTGGTTAAATTATACTAGTTTCTGAGCAACTCTATTAAGAACTGGGAAGACCCTCACACATAGATACTCTTTGTCTTCCCATGAGTCCTTTCCAACTGAAAACTTAAGGTCTTAAAATATTTAATTAATATTTTTAATATTAATATTTAATTAATTCAAATTTAATATTTAATTAATTATTAATTAATAATTTATTTAATATTTAACTAATTCAAATATTTATTGGTACTACAAGGTACCCTGCAAGCCTCAAGGCAACATAAAATCGACTAAGACATAGTTCCTGCCATTGAAGAGAAACTAGTCTGGACATGGATAAAACAAGTTTACAAGTCAGAACATCAAATATAAAAATCCTAGAAAAAAGAACTACAATGTAGCATGGGGAGTTAGAAAAAGAGAAAAATCAAATTTGCTTAGAAAATTCTGGAATGACTTCCTCTAAGAGGCAATATTTGATGCAAACTCTGGAGGGTAAGTAGACTTTCAAGAGGCAAAAAGCAGTAATAACAGCACAGTTTGTAATAGTGTGAGCTAAAGGGGACAGAGTTTAATGGAGAACCACAAATCACCTAGTTTGGCTAGGGGACAAGAACTTGCATGGTAACAGAGAAGACTGGGAATGTAAATGGAAGTCCCAAGGTGACCTGTTGGGAGGCCAAGGATCATAACCTATACTTAATTTAGTACATAATGCTACATCAAAGGGTTTTTTTGTTGTTTTATTAAGATGTTGAAGTTTTTTTTTAACAAGTTGAAATAACACAATAGCCTCTGAGCTTCATGTTCCATGCTTGCAGGAATGAGTATATTATATTTTAGATAAACTCTCTCAGGAGGAAAAGGGCTTGCCCTCAGCCTGAGGAAGTAGGCTTCTGGTAGCCACCAGACATAGGGAGAAATGCACAGAAAGTCCTGTTGTGTGAGAAAGACTTGGGAAAGCCCCACATGAAAATGGTTGTCAGAGATCAAAGAAATTAGGGATCTGGGTTGGTAAGAGAAACTTACCTTGTCTTCAAGCTCCAGTCTTACGTGACACAAGTCCCTGTGATGTTGTTCTTTCATCTGTTCAATGACCAGCTCAGCCTCGATGCTCATATTGAGTGGATTACATTCTTCAGAACCCAGTCCTAAAAACAGAGGGGACCCTCTGATCCTGTGGCAGGTTCTTTCAGTGACACAATCTGGCATCTGAGGAGGGACCCCCAATTTACCTAAGGCATAACTTTCAGCCTAAATTTCCCCAGATGTGAGCTACTGGAAAATAAGAGAAGCCAAGAGAAGTCTCTTCTCTTTTCAAACATTAGGGCAAATAAGACACTAAGATGAACAGATTCTTTCATGTATTGGCAATGTACCAACCTTAGTAGAATATACGTTTTTAAACAGTAGGTAGACATAGGTGTGGAAATTACTGCTTAAACATGACCTCCTCCTAATAAAAATGGTATGTGGTGAGGAAATAGCAGGAGAAGTTTGGCCAACCAGCTTTCTATCCATCCAACAACTACTGAATGACAAACTGGCACAAGGGCAATGTGGCTGGGGGGTGAGTGGCCAGCATACTTGCTGCCAGGCTTTGAGGAGTAGACTTCTTGAGTCAGGATGTTCAGCTCATCACTCAATAAAAAGGAATACTTGGTGTCACTGAATTTCCTGTTGATCCCCCGCTAAAATTATTGGCTGAAAAATAGGACATAATTTGGAACCTGGATATAGGCAGGGGTTTTTTTTTTGGGGGGGGGGATGGTGAGGGTGGGGATTCACAACTCCACCGTGTGACTGTACCTCTGAAACTGCCCATGATGACTGATGAGAACATCGAGAAGGTAAAGACTAAGTCGAAGGCTGAGCTAGTGCCAAAACACTGTGTGTCTACAAAACAAAGTCTACTATTAGGTAGCAATCCCTTAAGGCAGGGAAGCCCAAGATAGTTTTTCATGTGGGAATATATAGGCAGATGGGAGAAAGGGACCCCTCTTGGGTTGAGACCTCACAGCTAGGATTGACAGTCTTAACCTGGGCTTCCAATCATATGGCATATCCCCAGCTGAGAATCAACACATGGATATAAACCACCCAAAGATGGCCACCTGTGAAGAGCACAACCCAACAGCTGGATGGAAAAGCTGCTGAAATGTATCATATAACCACCCTTGACTAGAGTATATAGGCCAAAATTCAGAGAAAAGGGCTGAAGACCTCTTCCACTCCCCTCCTCTACCCCCTGCTGATTCTACACTAAGTAGGTGAGGGAAGGAATGAACCATTTTGTGAGAAAAGTACTTTCACCCAAGTAGCAGAGAGGAAAGCTATTTATAACAAAAGAACTGATTTTGAGCCGTTTCTGAAATCTGAACTCAATGCATCTGAGCAAAAAGGCAGGCTATCAAGATGGGGGAAAGAGCCAGGAGTGAAGGTCGGATGGTTCCCAAACAACTCTGACTTCCAACCTTGCCCCTGGAAATTTTCCTCAAAGGCACAGGCGACCAACCCTTATTTATCTTATTTGTTGTTCTGCAGAAGCAACAGAGGCATTTAGCATAGCCAGCATAAGAAAACCAGTTACAGATTCTGTGGTTTGCGGTTGGCTCACCCTCCAAAACCATCTTCATACCAGCCAGGCACTCTCAGAGAAAGGATTCAGCAATGGCTCTGTGTCTGAATTCTAACACTCCAAAGGCATGGGTTCTTAGATTTGCAGTCAGTTTGTTTGTTTTAAACAAAGCAAATACTTTAGTGTTTTGATTTTTTTCATTCCTTTGTTGATACATATAAAAATCAGATGGACATATTCTCATACAGACTTCAACGATAAGTGAAAACCTGACCGCAAGTGAAATAGCTCAAAATGAGAATTGACAAAGGCTTTTTTCCCTTCAGATTGCCACTTTTGCAATTTCACATTCAGTCACAGTTCTTGCAAAGATTAAATGCAAAGACTCTGAAAAGATAATGTCTGAATGTGTTTACCCTGGTCAGGCTCAATGCCGCCACTATTAACATCAAGTTCTTCTGACAGCGAGTTCTTCAAGGGAAGCCTGAATGCTTTGCCTTGTGCACGATACTCTTCTAGCTCGGACTGGAGTTCATCCACTTGGTCTTGTAATACCTGGGGTTTAAAAACCCACACAGGTCTTAGAAGTGACACCAAAATACAAGCAACAACAACAAAAAACAGATGAATTGGACATCATCAAAATAGACACTTTTGTGCTTCAACAAGCACCATCAAAAAAGTAGACAACCCACAGAATGGGAGAACAGTTTTGTTAATTTCATATCTGATAAGGTACTTGTAACTAGAATATATAAAGACTATTACAACTCAATAATAAATATAAGGAACTCAATATAAGAATATAAATATAAGAAATGGGCAAAGGACATAGGATCCTTTAAGATATCTTAAGAAATTTCTTAAGATACTTCCCCCAAGAAAATAAACAATCAGTAAGTATGTAAAAAGATCCACAAAATCATTAAACTATTAGAGAAATGCAAATAAAAACAATGAGGGGATGTCACTTCATGCCCACAAGGATAGCCAAAATAAAAAAGATGCAGAATAATAACTGTTAACCAAGATACAGAGAAACTGGAACTCTCATACTGGTGGGAATGCAAGATGGAAGAGATTTGCCAGTTTCTCAAAAGGTTAAACACAGAGTTACCATATGACTCAGCAGTTCCACTCTTATGTATATGCCCAAGAGAAATGAAAATCTATGTCTTCATAAAAATGGGCACACAGATTTTCATAGTAGCATTATTCATAAAGCCCCCCAAAACTCAAATGTCCATTAACCAATGATAGATAAACAAAACACAATATATCCATATGATAGAATGTTATTCCAACATTAAAAGGAATAAAGTACTGAAACACTTAACAACATGAATGAACCACGGAAACATCATGCTAAGTAAAGGGAGCCAATCACAAAGGTACACACATTATCTGATTTCATTTTTTGTGAAAAGCAAAGATTAGGCAAATCTACAGAAAGTAGAAAAGTAATGGTCTAGGGCTAGTGATCATGGGAGTGACTGTGGCTAGGTAGATCAGGGATTTCTTCTTGGGGCGAGGAAAATATTCTAAAATTGACTGTGGTGATGGTTGCCCAATTGTGTGGATATAATAAAAGACATTGATTTGTACATTTTAGATGGGTGAAATATATGGTATGTAAAGTTGTTTTAAAAAGTGAATGGACTGGGATGAATTTTATTGATGAATTCATTACATTTAAAGACATTGAAAGCAAACAGTCCATTTGATTAGGACCAAGAGCTGTAACTTAATTATAAAAGCAGAAGAAATGTTTCTTTTCTCAAAAGTGCACGTGCACCTCCTGAGAAGGCAGCCCAGAAACAAGCTCATCAGGAGAGATCTGCTTTCCCCACCTCCGCTCAAGTGTAATTTTTATCTAAAGCAGGTAGAACTCAGTTAACCTTGTTAAAATAGACTAGTATTTCTGGTTTAAGGGGGGAAAAAATCCCAAATTCCTAAGCTTATGGAAGTTAATTTAGGAAAATAAAAAGAGATTCCTCTAAAAGAGTGTTTTTATCTCTCCTGGTAGGTATTGGGAATGGTTTATTATAGAAACACTTGAATGGTTTCTGCTTCATTTGTTTTGTAAAAAAGGAACTTATTCAAAAATTAAACAAAAAAAAGAAAAAAAACAGGACAAAACTAAATTACGCCACATTAGGCTGCAATGATCAATCAGGAAAGGCTAACTTTGGAAAAAGCACATCAACATGGCAATATCATATTCCTCCACTCGGCTTAAAATTATATTTTCCTCTAAGCACTAGTAACTTTTGATCTAGATAAAGCAGACCTAAATGCAGTTTGCAGATTCCCTGATGCAGGATATTGACTAACCATATATATATATATTTTAATTTGTTCTAATTAGTTTTACATGACAGTATAATGCATTTGACTCATTGTATACAAATGGAGCACAACTTCTCATTCCTCTGGCTGAACACTGACTAACAATATTAATAGCCAACTTCCATGTAAGTGCTCTGCACATTGGCTCGTTGAATCTTCACAACCACCTGATGAGTAGGTAGGTACTCTTGTTTTCACAGCCCTCTAGAGGAGAAGGTGAGGCACCCACAGGTTGAAGTGACCTATTCATGGTCATATAGCCAAGAAGCGGTGAGCTGGGATTTGCATGCATGCCCCCCTCCTGCACTCACGTGTTCTCTCCAGCCACTCACCCTGCACTGCTGCTCATACTCATTTCTCATCTGAGTCAGCCTTTCTTCTTGCAGAAAGAATTCAGCACTGCTGGGATCTAGGTCACCAAACTAGAAGGTGAAAGGGCAAAACTGTCATTTTCCCCAAATGCCCTTCTTTGACCTATCACATACCTATCACATACCAGTTTCTGTGTCACCCAGGCTCTTGAGCATGAGAGGAATGCAGTATTTAAGCAGAAACATCATCAACCAGAAGACAGGGAGAACATACGAGAACAATGTGTTCAACTCAGGCAGGGATGACTTCTTGGTGGCAGGCAATGTTTTCCTTCATAACCACTCACTAAATTATATCCCTGCAAAGTTACAACTTCCTTTAGGTACCCAAATAATTCCCTAATAAAAATGTTCTTGGCATTGCTTCTGCTCCTTTGAATAAAGACAGACACATTGGGCAGCCCATCAGGAAATCAGATTTAGACTGATTTACCTTTTCAGCTAACACATTGTCCAAATTTCGCTGAAGTTTGTTTGTCAGATTCTCATACTCTGCCAACTTCTCTGCATTTTCCAGAAGCTCATTTTCCAGGCGACTGTTTTCCTGAAGAAATTTAGGGAAATTAAATATGGCACAGATTAAGAAATAAGCAAACTGTTGTATCATTTTATATGAAGCATAAGTCAGTGTTCTCAATTAAGAAAATTTGCCCATCTTGAATGGAAATGAAAATAAACACAAAGAAGTTGATATCTAAATCACAGCCCAAACGTCTGCCCTTTTTAAAAGAAATCTCATAGAACACGGTGTCCAATATGTTAGCCAATAACAGTCACAAGTAAATACCGAGTGCTTGAAATATGTACAAAGATGAGTCGTAAGTGTAATATATACACTAGATTTTGCAGAGCACAAATATATAAAATAGGTCAGTAATTTTTTTGTATACTGATTGCAATTTAAAACAATGCCTTCGAGATATTGGACTAAATGAAATGATTTGAAATGAATTTTACCTTTTAATGTGGCCATTGTAAATTTGAAATTACATATCTGGCTTGTATTCTATTTCTACTGAACAGCACTGCACTAGAGTATTTTTTGAGGATGTGTATTATACTTATTAATGCATATGAATTAAATAAGTGGGTTTCACTTGTAGTGAAACTTAGTAAATTAAATGAAATATTCTCAATGTATTGTCCAATGAAGGAAAACTTGTTACAAAGTAATTTGTCCAGCCACCAACAAAAGAGAACTCAGAAAAGCTATAAAAAGTAGGGTAACTCTAAAATCAATTTTCATTTACTGGTATTATAGTTTGATTTATAAATTAATTTTGGTTTAAGGATGTAAAAGCTATACATTTAAGTGGTTCATATTTATACATTTTTTTAAGTTATAATAAGATAACATCAACCAAAACTCACAAAAAGTTTTAATTAATTTAAAAGGATCTGTACATAAAGTACTTTTTAGAAAGATTTCTACTCACATTGAAAAAAAAAAACCACCAGACATGCTATTTGACATATTTTCTTCTCCAATGGTAAAGACTGATTGGAAGAATGTTATTTCCAAAGCACATTTTGCCAAAAGAATATGGAGCCAGTATATTTTTAACATATTCTTGTTCACACCCTCACATAGCAATATGGAGTAAAGAAAAAAATGTACTTGAAGCATTTTAAAAAAAATACTACCTTCCCCTAAAAATGCCAGTTCTATACTCTAGCCTTTCAAAGTGTACCTAAACTTATGATGCTAAAATAATAAGGAACAATCTTTACGTATCAGGCACTGTTCCGGTACTCTGAAAGATGCCCAATCAGACAGATACTGACTACAGGGAACAATCAGGAGCTCAGGAAGAGAAGCAGATGTGGATACAACTATGATGCAAGAGTTAATTGCACTATGAAGACACAAGAGTAAAGGTAATGGGAATGAAAAGGTACAGCCCACAGTATCAGGGAAAACAGTGAAGGAGCATAAAAGTGTTCTGTCTCTGAGTGCAGTGGGGTAGGGGCATGGTTCTGGGAGTTGCTGGCAGGAGCTGAGGCTAGAAAGGTATGAGGATGGGAACTCTTTCAGTGGCCTCAAATATGAGCACTTTTTTTTTTCTTTTGACAAAGACTATCAGCTTGATTATAACTGATCTTTACGGTAACTGATGGCCATATGAAGGTAGGAGAGATGGGGAAAGAACTGTTAGGGCCCATATAATCAGCTAAGAAATCATGATGAATTCAGAGTCTAATCAGAGGCTAGGGAAATGCAGAGGAAGGAGATAAATCTGAGAGGTATTTCAGAGCATCAACACAACTTAGAAACTGATGAGTGATGATGACTGAGAATTTTAACTCCTGGAACTTATAGTGCATGGTGATGACATTGATTAGGGAGAAAATTCAGGAGTTGAAAGAACTGCATGATTAGGAGTCATAATTGGCTCAGTTTTTGATGTACGGAGTTTCAGGAACATTTCATAACAGCAGCGGTAGCATTTCCAAAGTACTTATTTTCCAGATACCATACACATATCATCGGATATAACCCCCACTTCAAAGGGTAAATGTTATTATGGTGCCCATCTGTACATTAGGAAACAGTTTGAGTAATTTCAGCTAAGTATACGCTGACACCCATGTTTGAGCCATGCCGTCTGACTCTAGAGCTCCTGCATCATATTTTCTGTGTGAGTCCAATAAAGAGAAGGAATGTCCACTCCTCCACCAAGAGAGAGGAAAGCAGGGAAGACAAATGAGAGAAGAGGCACATATGGAAGCTAAACAGAAACTCAGAGGCCTCTGTGTGGCAAGAGGTAAGTTTACTGCAGAGAACAAGGTAGGTGGGCAGAGAAGGGGAAGTAGGACCTGAAGATACAGATAGGCTAGGAGGACCAGATACTGGAATGAGGGTGTCAGTTAAGTGCCCAACATCCCTGAGGACCCAATACAACACTATCAGCACACCAGAAGCCTGCATAACCCTGAAATCCAGGTCCTAGCAGGGTCCCTGCCATGTCTGGATCATGACATGGTGGGGCAAATGTATCAGAGTGAGCCCTGTGTGGACTAGCCCTCTCAGAGCTAAAGCTTTGCATGTGGCAAATGCAGAAGGGATCCCAGCCTTTAAAGAGATTACCTTTAAAGAGAGGGCAAGGCGGTCCCGAATGTAGTTCTCCTCTGTTTTTGCCTTTTCGATTTCCTGTTCGAGTTCCAAGCGCTGCTTGCCCACCTGCTGCAGGATCTGCTCCCTCTCTCTTCGGAGTTCATTTTTTAAGGCTGCTATACGTTCCTTGTACTCTTCATCTAGTTTTCTGTAAGGAGGAAAAATTGACAAGCATCCATCAGATCCCCTGGAGTTCCCTACGTGGATCTATCAACATTGGAAACAGAGTTAATGAGATTGGAAGCACTTTTGAGAAAATGTCTAATGTGTCTTGTTTTCCTTGAGGCTTGACCACATCTAAATCTCTGCAGCCAGATGTGGCCCAACAGGCAGGCAGGCAGGCAAAGCATCCCTTGCTCTGTTCTGGCCCTATGCCTGGCAGGTGGGAAAGGATCTGGCCCTTGCCCAACCATTCGCACCTAAGGTTGTACTCATTCCGCCGCTCTATGGCCGCATGGTGATCATCCACTTCTGAAGCCATTAGTGACTTAAGTTTCTCAGCCTTATCCAGGTCTGACCGTAGTTTCTCTTTTTCTCTGACCACTTGATCAACTCGTTCCCTAGAATCAGAAATACACTGAGTTAACAGAAAACTATTTCTAAGCAACAAGTAGACCCCGAAGAGCTCTTATCTGGCTTGCTTAATACAAAAACAAAACCAAGACAACCAAACCCCACCCCAAACATAAAGCTTTTCCATAGTTCCCTTCAAAAGCCTACATGCCAGACTAAGTTCCACCTCATTTTCCTACAGTTTAAGGAAGATCTGTGCAATAGATATGGAGGACTAGTCACATTATGCACACAGAATGTAAAACTGTTTACCGGACTTGTTGGACAGGTGGGAAAGGGAACGGAACAGGAGAACTTGACTTACAACAAATGCCGGATCTCAGCCTTAAAGCTGGCCAGAGCTGCCTGGTGAATGCTGTTCTTGGTGACCAAAAGTTCATTTTCAAGAGCTAGTGTCAATTCTGTCAAGTTGACATTTCCATCAAGGCTGAAATCCAAGGCCTGGAAATCAGAACATAGCACAATTTCAAGACAAACCATAGATCTACCTTCTGAAAGCAAAAAATGTAAAGGTTACATAAACTTGGAGAACTGAATACAGCTTAGATATTGGGCAATTATATTTCTTTAGAGACTACTTCAGAATAATCTTCAATCCAGAACAGAACAGTTTTTTCCTAAAGAAAATATAACATGTTTATTTGTTTCTCTTTAAAAAATACTGATACTATAAATAAACACAAATAATAGAGCTCTCATCTTTACCAGCTAGAGATCAGTTAAGCATATTTCTCATGTCAAAAACTCTGGGGTTAAAATTATGGGAAGTAGTTAGCAACAGGGGGTAGAAAAGTTACCTCTTATCTGAGAGCTTGTGAACAGAATAATCATTAAAGATAAATCACAATGAATCAAGAGTTTCAAAAAAAATTGAAAGTTTCCAAGATTTGCTATTTTTCCTCCCATTTTAACTGCCACACCTTTAGGATCTCCTGGCTGTTCTCAATGCCCTCTTCCTGCCAGGTGTCTAGTATTCTCTCTACAGATGCATGGCCCATCCCATCATCCAGGCAGGAGAAGACCCGAAAGCCAATGGTACTCGTCATCGCCGATGGGGTTGTGGTACGACGTCCACTCTCATCAAAGGACTAGAAAAGAGAGACTTCAGCAAGCTCAGCTGGACTCCAGGCATTTCAACTAGATGCTGGTCAAGACTGAAACTGGTCAGTGCTGACCACAGAGAGCAGAATTTAATTTGTGCTGCTAGGAAAAAATACTTCATGCAGTGCCTTTGATCTCTGTTCCCAGGTGAGCCAAGACTACAAAGCTTATCAAAAACAACTATTTTTGACATAGATGGGCTGGCTCTCTATTTAACACCAGGTTTCTCTGACCCCGAGTTGACATCAAGAGACATAATTAGTGGCCTTCCCACTCTGTAATTTATGGTCATTTCTCAAACCCAAGTTTTCTTCCTGACAGGTTAGTCTTTCTTATTCTCCTTTTGCTTTGCGCTCTCTCTTTGGCATTTTACTTCAGACAACAGATTAATTAATTAGAAATTACTAAGTGGGTTCTAGCTTTCACTTACAAAGAAAAAGCTTACCTGCATGGAGAGGTGCCTTTTCAGTTGTCTGTAAGGAGTAGAGGCTGACGGTGTAAGGGATTTTCCATTTTTAAACAAGCCATAGAAAAAATCTTCTACACTCATTGTGCCATTGGGATCAAGATTATGAAATACTTCTTCAAGCATCTGAAAGAGAGTCATCACATATTTTAGATGCTTCACTGAAAATAACATAAGGCCCAGGATCTACTTCTGGCCAACAGAAATCAACACCACTGTTGATTCTAAGACTCCAGAAATATAATTATGTCCCTTTACTCTCATTTGAACTAAATGCACTTTCCTTTCCAGTATTGATATACCTTCTCCCTCACACAAACTAAATAAAATTCCATTTTCAACATCTCCATAATTTAATAGAATGTAGCAATTAACTTTCTTTACTCCTAGAGTAGGCAATCTTTAATGATGCCATGTACTTGCAAATTAAAATTTTACTTAAAAAATAAAGATTTAGCTTTCCAGCATTATAATAGTAGAAATTAATAGGTCATTCTTCACACCTGCAAACTGTGGTGACTCTAAGTGACGTTTGGCTTACATAAAAATTTGAAATTGGCTCACTAGCACAGCATAATTTGGTCTGGGAGAGATCGTAATGACTTAAAGAGTTTGGGTCTGAAACCCATACTTGGAGGTTAGAACCTTACTTGGAACAACACTGTATGTGCTGGAATTTTGTTTTAGCCCAGAAGAGACAAAGATTTGGTGAGACAGATTTTGTGTGTGTTCCAAGAGATAAAAGACAAGGAAGCTTCAACTGACTCTTACACCCTCTGAGAATAATCAAGTGGTCCTCATCATATAACAAGGACCCCAGCCCCATTCAGAGGCTTGCCTTGGAGATGGTCTGTTCCTTAGCCTCACAGAAAGGGGAACAGAGCAGTGTGCATCATTGCAGCCCCAAGAAACGGTTTAAAGGCAAAGATCTCCTATTGGAAGTCAGTGTCCCTTTATTTTATGGGGTAGGTTTTTTTTTTTTTTCTAAAGGAAAACACCTCCCATGAACAAAATAGAAATCACATGGGGTTCTTATTAAAATGCAGAGTTTGCTATAGTAAGTCTGAGGGAGGGGCCTGAAATTCTGCATTTCGAACAAGCTCCTGGGGGAAGCCCAGGTCACTGAGTAGCAAGATTCAATAAACAACAAATTTATTCTTGTGGCCTTAAAACTTATAACTAAGTCCATTCTAACATAGGTTTAAATTCTCTGTGACACATCCTCAAATTTTTTAACATTCATTTCTTAAATCTGAACTATTGCTATGATTTGTGTCATCTCATGATTGATGTTGTTCTTTATGTAAGTGCTGGAGGCATCTCTTTTATCAATGCTCCCCCCCACACCCCTCACACCAAATAGGAAACATCTGTCTCCATTCTGGAGAGGACTCTGAAACAAGGAAACTATTCTAAAGGGTGGAAATCTTTGGAACAAGTAACAGTTTCTAACAGAGAATCTAGTAATCAAATCCATGGAAAGGCATTTAGGACAAGCTGCAGAGGCTGCCAACATCCCTTAGCTTTTTGGTCTCATTTTCATCAACCAAAAGAACACTCTCCGATATCAGTATGGAGGATCCTCCAAAAACTAAAAACAGAACTACCCTATGATCCAACTACACCACACCTCAGCATTATCCAAAAGTGTCAAAGTCAGCATACTATAGTGACACATGCATTCCCATGTTTAAAGCAGCACAATTCATCATAGACAAGCTACAGAATCAGCCTAAGTGTCCTTCAACAGATGAATGGATAAAGAAAATGTATATATAGTGAATGGAGTTTTAGTCAGCCATTTGCAGGAAAATGGATGAAACTGGTGAATATCATGTTAGGCAAAATAAGCTAGGCTCAGAAAGACAAGTTACTACATATGAAATATGACATGTGGAATCTGGAGGGAATAAAGGGTATCTCATGAAAATGAAAGGAAGAGGAAGAGGATCAGGGGGAAGAAGAAGGGGAGGGCAAGAGAAAGTCCCGGGGACTAAAATTGATCAAATGCATAAACAAATATGCCACAATGAAAACCATTGTTCTGTATGATTAATATGTGCCAATAAAAAATATATATGTGTGTGTATTTATTTATTTATTTTTAAGAACACTCTCCTGTAGGAGGAGAAGGAGGAGGAGGAGGCTTTCAGAACCACCAAACCAAAAGTTATGATGAAATCCAGGCGCCCTGGCTGAAGCTAGCAAGGCACATTTTACCTTAGACCCACATCTAGAACTGCAAGGACATTTTTGCTCCCCATGATGCACTAGCCAGATCTTTAAATAGTTGATTTTCCAATGTGTGAGTTAGGAAATAATGTATCAGGATAGAGATCAAAAACCCAAATATGAGCAGAGCCCAGAAGATGATGGAGACAATGGAGAGGGTGGTTTTAAGACATTGGAAAGTGGTGAGAACTCACTGGACACCTGACCACATGTCCTTCCCAAGGAGCCTACTACATCTCACGGCCTGCAGAAGTGGGCAAAATCTTTGGATTTTTAAAGGAAAATCTCCCAAACTTAAAGTGTACCACACAGTTCAATTTTTAAAACCTTGAGCCAGCCAAAGAAAATGACTTTGGGATTAGATGTGGCATCTGGGATGCTGGTTTGCCATCTCTACCCCTTAGTTGTCCTCCCTTCTGGAAAGCAAAGTGCTAGTTAGAGCTGTAAGAGAGGGGCTCCAATTCCCCCTCAAGACAACAGCGGGCAGCAGTGACCTTACTGTCTTTATCTATACAATGAAGGGGTGACTAAAGCTCAAATGGCTTTCAGTTGTAAAATCTAGGATTCCAAGTGGCATGTTAACAACATCATCCTTAACTCCCAGCTCCTCTGTGGCTTAGAGCAAATCATAAAAAACACTACAGAATCACACAGTTTTTCTTTAGGAGAAAAAAAAAAGAAAGAAACCGCTAAATAAAAGTTGTGTTTAATAAGCAATCCTTTATTCATACTCAAACCAGAGGAAAAAATCTTTATTTCTTCTCCCAGGTTTTGGGAACTCTACTACTCTTATATAATGACTACGGTTTATTCCAAGAATTGTTTTTGGATAAATAATCCAAGTTTGTGCAATATTTCTTGGCAAAAACAACCCCAGGTTCTGGGTACTGCACTAGTTTATAAATTAGGAGGATGATTGAATTTTATGACTCAGAGTCACCATTGAGGGCTGGGGTTATGGCTCAGTGGTAGAGCGCTTGCCTCGCATGTGTGAGGCACTGGGTTCAATTCTCAGCACCACATAAAAATAAATGAATAAAAAAAAGGCCCATCAACAACTAAAATAATATTTTTTTAAAAGCCACCATTGAAAAATAAATCACCACTATATACATGAAAAAAATGTTCAACATCACTAGCAATTAGAGAAATGCAAATCAAAACCACTCTAAGATTTCATCTCACTCCACTCAGAATGGCAGCTATTATGAAGACAAATAACAATAAGTATTGTTGAGGATGTGGGGAAAAAGGTACACTAGTACACTGTTGGTGGGACTGCAAATTGGTGTAGCCAATATGGAAAGCAGTATGGAGATTTCTTGGAAAATTGGTAATGGAACCACCATTTGACCCAGCTATCTCTCTCCTTGGTCTATACCCAAAGGATTTAAAAACAGCATAATTCAGGGACACAGCCACATCAATGTTTATAGCAGCACGATTCACAATAACTAAACTGTGGAACTTAGATGCCCTTCAATAGATGAATGGATTAAAAAAATGTGGCATGTATACACAATGGAATATTACTCAGCAGTAAAAGAGAATAAAATCATGGCATTTGCAGGTAAATGGATGGAGTTAGAGAAGATAATGCTAAGTGAAGTTAATCAATCCCAAAAAACCAAATGCTGAATGTTTTCTTTGATATAAGGAGGCTGATTCATAGTGGGGTAGGGAGGGGGGGAGCATAGGAGGAATAGACAACTCTAGATAGGGCAGAGGGGTTGGAGGGGATGTGAGGGGGCATGGGGTTATTAATGATGGTGGAATGTGATGATCATTATTATCCAAAGTATAGGTATGAAGACATGAATTGGTGTCAATATACTTTGTATACAACTGGAGATATGAAAATTGTGCTCTATATGTATAATAAGAATTACAATGCATTCTGATGTCATATATAAATTTTAAAAAAGCAGTCAAGTAGTGTACAATGACTACATATACAAGTGAGGAAGAAAACATTAAAAATAAAATAATAAATTTTCTGCAAACCAGGATACTGGGAAGTTTTTGATTATAAATTTCTTTGGGAGAGGGGATAGGAAAATACTACCACTTATGGAGTGAGCAGATAGCAGGGTTTCAAATATCATTATAATCAAAGACCCCAAAGCTACCACTGTAGCCCTAACCTCTAACTCCCTAATCTTTATTTTTAGCTTTTTGAAAAACATCTCTTGGAATTACTTACATTCTTATGTTTCACAGCTATTCATGCATTTAGTCCTACAGAGCCCTTCTTATTTTTTCAGAAAATGTAAAGTTTGAAATGTTACCAAGTGAGACTCTTTGGGTGGCTCTTTTAAGACTCTGTACTTTCAAACAACCAACTTACCCTTTTCCATTTCCTCATGACCAGAAAATGGTAATGACCCCTGGTTGTGACAGCTAACCCAAAGCTCTTCTCATACAATAGGCAAAGGCAGCTGAGACCATCCTTAACTCCCAGCTCCTCTGTGGTTTAGAACAAGTCATAAAAACTTTTCCCATATATTGCTCAATCTGCTTAAGGATCCAGGGATGGCATTGAGATATTCTGTCTAAAAACCTAAACTTAATAGCCTGGCTTTCAAAATAGTCCCCCAACTTAAATGTGTGAAACTCCCTGCTTAATTTTTCCTCCATGCTTTCCCATGTGTTCCTTTGTGATTGACATCTCCTAACATCATAGCTCAAAGAGCTAGGGTCTGGTAGTCTCATACAGGGTAACAGGCTTAGCACTGTAAGGGGCACACAGTATGCACAAAGTATCAGTTTTTCTTTCTCATAAAACAATATGAATCCCTCAAAAGACAATATCTTCAAGAATGACTTCTTAGGAGGAAAGAAAATAGTCTCTAACAAGCTGCAGGAAGCTATGGTATGGCTGTCCCTGCCTGTGGCCAGCTAGGAGCTTATCATCATTATTGTTCCCGAATCAAAACACTACAATGCTTACCTCCCCATTAACATTCTGCAAACCATACTGCTCGCAGATGGAGACCAGCTTCTTCCGGTTCAGGTGACCATCCCGGGTGATCCCCAGATCATCACAAACCTCCTGCAGTTTCTCCTCTATCCAGTCTTGGGGAGGGGAAGACCCACTCTGTGAGGCACTCAAGTCATCTGGGTTCCAAAACCGTAGCTGGCCTGAAATCAGAGTGCACACAGTATTGTCTCCAAAGGAAGTGCAAAGAAAGAGTGAATGCCTATTCTCAAAAAAAAAAAAGTACTTTTGAAAATAAATATTATATTAAAAAAGTTGAATATTATAAGAAATGTTGACCCCCTTCTTATTTGGTCCTGATGTTCCAACATAAACTTTTTTTTTTTTTAGAACCAATAGATAATTTTTTGCTCCATGGCAGTCAAACTGAGTAAAGAACATCCTTCCTGTGCAGTACCACTCATATTGGTTTATCCCAACTAATAACATCAGAAGCTTAGGTGGTCATCTGATCACATGAGAAGGCTGGTCGAGAGCCACCCTAACGTGTTCCAGGCCCTGAACAACTACAGGTTCCAGTTTTATTTCTATTATCTAAATACTAGAGCATCTTTTACTAAGAAAAAAAAAAAAATTCATGATGATCATCTCAAGATTTGCCTCTTTCCAAAGTCTGCACATAAGAATATTCTGACCTATAGAAAACAAACAATCCAACTTCAAAGAACTACAGGTTGCAAGTTTCAAGTTCCTATTATTGGTAATATGAAGGGTAATTTCTATTTGAAGACAGAGATCAAACTACTTATTTAAATATCAAGAATATTTATCCTCTATTAAAAAATCTCTACTTCTAAATTGTCCACTTACATATTAGAGAGTCTTTAAAGTTGTCACTTAAACATGAGATAATTACTGGCACAATTTTGTGTGCGGGAAGAACGGAGATCTAGAGAGAACGTGTTGTAAATACATTTAAGCACAGTTAATCCCAGATAGGTAGTGAAGTGGCTTGAGAGCTTGTCAGCTGGACCTCAGTGCCACCTGGTGGTCAGAGGATCAATTGTGTTCCAATGCTTTTTATATACATTTGAAATTGCAAGGGATACATATTAAAATGCTATTTAGGTTAGGTTAATATTTAGGTTATGGCTGTTCAATTAATTAAAAGGTTTGTATCAAGAGAAATTAGTCACATTGTAGTTGCCATCTTTTTCATGATGTTAAAAGCCAGGAGTTTAAAACTATGAGCTATCAACTGCAATTGAATTTTCTGTGGCTTCTGTTCCTAATGTTTATTCTCAACTAGCCTCCAGCATAAGATGCGGGAGGTAGGGTATGGGAAGTGCTCTATGAATGGCAGCCCAGCCCTCCCCTCCCCAGCAGGTCCCCACATGCTCAGCTCTTACCTTCTGCTTCATACTCCTCACCGCGTTGCGTCTTCCAGTGCTACGGAGGACAAGAGATGATTAGTGTGCTTTTGAAATTATTCAAAAAGAAATCCTAGCTTTTCCTAAACCAGATTACATTCTGGCTCTGAAATCATCATCTGGGTGGGCCACATGATTTTAGGGCCTGCCAATGCTTCTATCCAGGAGGGTTCTCTTCAGTTAACCAGATGATTCCTATGACACTGAATATGGTCTTCTGCAGACTGTTATAAGGATTTGTCCTTCTCATCTGGGAGGTCACTTATTCAACAGCAAAACCTATCAAAACCCATTAAATTAAGCTGAAGTAAATATTCGGAATCCATTAAGAAAACAAGATTTTGTATGCACGCATTTATGAACTTCTTGTTCAATAAATGTGTATTGAATGCTTATTTTTATGCTAGGTCCTAGTAATGCAGTCATAAAGAGAGCCAACACATTTCCTGCCTCACAAAGTGCATATGCTAATGAGGACAAGCTGACAAGAAAACAGGAAGTACACGGGAGGATGTTTTAAGTGCTGTGATAGGGAATTTCAGGATGCTGTGATGATGCCTACATGAGACACTTCAGACTCACTAGACAGGGTAGATTTCCTAGAAGAAGCAAGGTCTAAGCTGAGACCCCCAAGGATGAACTAGAGAGAGTGAAAAAAAAGGGGCAGTTATTGTTTTCTTCTGAAGCAAGCAGGTACGAATAAGCTTTGTGTGCCTGTGGCACAGTGAGCAGAGAAATGCAAACCAAAAAATGGGAGGCTAGAAAGCTTGAGCTAAATAAAATATATATTACCAGTAAATTTCAGTAAAAGTAGTAAAACTTATCTGAATTAGACCATTTAGCCATCTTATCATGCTATGTTTCTACTTTTTAGTGAGTCTTCCCCAGGGTCACAGCACGTAGTTTATGTACTGGCAAAACCACCGAGCCAAGGGCACAAGTCAGGACCAAAATCCACCATTGCCCACTTTACAGATCTTCTTCCAACCAGCTGCAAACATAGGTCTTCAGTGGCTTTGGCCTTTCCAGCCAGCTGCCCAGTGCTCCCACTTCTACTGAGAGGTTTTGTGACCACTGGCAAAAATATAACTCTGTCAAGGTAGGTGACTTTGATAACAAAAAACCAGCCCATTCTCTGGGGAGGCCAAACTATCTAAGATGAATTAATTTCTTTGAATCCTGAAATAAACTGAGCAGCAAAAACAGGCCTTGTTGCCACCTGTCTCCAGACCTGGATTCCTCATGGCAGATGGAGTGCCACCTGAAAAATCCTTGGATTAAACACTGTCTTTCAGCAGTTTGTTCAAATTGGCCTGAGCTGAGGTTCTTCTTTTGGGCCACCTAAGCACATCTACTTCATTCTCCACACTCCCTGTAGTTCTCTTAAATGAGGGTCAAGTAGCTACCATGATTTCATAGCTCCTTATTTCACTTACAAAAACACTGGAAATAGCACAGATTCAGGAGCTGGCCTAAATGTAAACCTCAAACTGACAATGCTCAGACAGAGTATTCTTGTCACACAGAAGGCACCAAAAGGCCATAACTCCAAATGAATATGTTCACCATGGCTCATTCAGGTTACAATTGAAAGTCACTAGCATACAAAGGGGATGATGATGAATCAGTAGGCACAGTGTGACCTTGATTTTTTTCACAACTACAGTTTTATCAGCTCACGGTGATAAAGGCAGGTGGTGTGCAAGGCAGGGTGGGAACAAGGGGTGAGTGGCAGAGTCAACAGTCCTCCATGGATTTCTTTACTTATTGCTAGTCAGAATTCAACTGTATTTTATATATGAAATTTAAATCAATAAAGCCCCACTAGTAAAAGTATCTTGCCTGCTGTCCCTCCATATTTATTTCCTTATTCAACAGAGCAAATTATTTAAATACTCACTCTGCTGTGGTATCCCCAATTATGAAAATTCATTATTCAACATTTAAACACTCTAGAACTAAATCCATTAAACCAACCTACAACAAATCAAATACGGTTTATGATCTAAGAAGTGTAGGTCAAAATAAAACCTCTCAAACCACAAATGAGATGATTTTTAATAGCAGACACTGATGGGAGAAATGCTAGGAGATATGTTATCTCTGAACCCAAACCAGAAAGAGAGCTCCAGCTGGGATTCCTACTTAGAAACATGCAAACCTGCAAGGAATCCTTGGTAACACCTTCTAAAGCAATGAACTATGTGTTGTTACACAAAAGTTGATTTACTAACTTTGTTCATTCACATCTTAATTCATTTTAAAATTGAGTTAAAAGAACTAAGGTGCATAGAATTTCTAATATACTGTTTTCCAACGTATCACCATCTATGGGACTGTGTGCATATTTCAGGTTGACAGGGACAGTGCATGCTTGATGGTTTTTTTCTTCAATTCTCACTCCCAACTAATAAGAGATTAAGTGTGGAGATCACAGCATAGATCTAGGAGTCAGACTGCCTGGCATCAAATCCTGACTTACCTATCAGGTTGACCTTAGTCAAGTTTCTTGACCTATCTACAAAATGGGAATAAAGTAGTATAGTACAGATTTCACAGAGGTAAGGGGAAAGGGATTAGAATTGTGCCTGTGCAATGTAAAATTTTTATTTTATTGGCCAGGTGTGCGCATAATAGACATGAAATTTATATTTGTAGAAATATTTTTCATTACTATGTTTAAACTTAAAGTAGGGCCTGGGGTTGTGGTTCAGTGGTAGAATGCTTGCTTAGCATGTGTGAGGCACTGGGTTTGATCCTCAGCACCACATAAAAATAAATAAAATAAAGGTCTATTGACAACTAAAACATATTAGAAAAAAACCAAAAACTTAAAGTAGTCTTTTGGGCAGGCCTGAGGACGTATTCCCCTATTCATATAAATTTATAAGAAAAAAGTCAAGCCTCCAGCAGAGGTGCAAAGAATATTGACCATTCACATAGAGGCAACAAAATTAAATAAATTTGGGGAAAGGTTTATCTCAGTACCAATCAAAGTAGTATAAATTTAAACCAAGAAATCATAATAGTTTGTACTAAATTAGCAAAAGATAAGTTTAAGATACAACTCCTATTACAACTATTATAGTTTAAAATAGTCCTGTTTAAGATGAATGCATAAAGAAACTGTGGTACATATACACAATAAAATATTACTCAGCTCTTAAGAAGAATGAAATTATGGCATTTGCAGGGAAATGGCTGGAACTGGAGAATGTTATGCTAAACAAAATAAGACAACCCCAAGGAACCAAAGGCTAAATTTTTGTGATATGCAGATGCTAATTCATAATAAGGTGGGAGCAAGAATAGAAGTAATTTGGATTGGACAGAGGGGAGTGAAGGAAGGGGAAGGAACATGAGGGTAGGAATGACAGTAGAATGAATCAAACATTATTACCCTATGTGCATATATTATTACATGACCTGTGTAACTCTATATCATGTGCAGCCAGAGGAATGAGAAGTTATACTCCATTTATATATAATATGTCAAAATATATTCTACTGTCATGTAAAACTAATTAGAACCAATAAAAAATATATTAAAAAAGAATGTAAACAATAGATGTTTGTATATTACTTGTAGCAATGTAAATGGGTATTATTCCTTTATTAATGAAAATGGCATTATGTGTCAAAAGCAATAAAAATATTCATACTCTTTGACGCAATAAATTTACTTACTATCCAAAGGAAATATAATCAGAGATAGAAAGCAAAAAGCCATAGGCATAAATATGTGTATCGTAGCACTTTTTGTAACAATATAATATTGAAAACAGCCTAAATATTCAACAATAGGGGCATAAAATATAATGATACATCATAATGCAGTCATTAAAAGAATAATTAAGAAACTGTAGGAACATGAAAAAAAATCCTAACAAATGAAAGAGCATAACAAAAATGCCATCTACCCTATGGTTACAGCTGGCAAAACTATTTACACAAACAGACAAAGACTGGAAGGAAATAGAGATAATAAAAATAGATACATTTTGGGCCGGGCACGTTGGCACACACCTATAATTTCAGGAGCTTGGAGGAGGATCGTGAGTTCAATGCCAGCCTCCACAAAAGCGAGGTGGAAGCTATTCAGTGAGACCCTGTCTCTAAATAAAATACAAAATAGGGCTGGGGATGTGACTCAGTGGCCTAATGCCCCTGAGTTCAATCCTTTGTATACAGCACCCCAAAGAAAAAATAGATACATTTTGGTTGAGGAACCATGGGAGACAATTTTCTACTCTTCTACTGTTATAAATGCTGTTGATGCAATATAAATAGGCACGACTTTCATTCTTTCTTTTGCCCAACTGCCCTCAAGTTCTCACTAAATAAATTAACTCTTGTGACTTAGGGATGGGGATGGAGGAAGGAAGTTCCCTCCCTTTGGTAAGTCCCATTCTGCAACACCTGCAATGCCATCCTGTCTTGTGACAGATGGAGAAGTATTGGTGAGAGCCTGAATGCAAAGGCTACTAATGCCAGTGCCCCCTAAGCTTAGTGGCAATTGGAAAGATCTGAGACACTCGCCTGAGACTTGTCTGGGGGGACTGAGACTATCCCCTTTGAAATAGCCCAATCCAAAGTATGGTACAGGTTTTGAACCCCAGGCAGCACCTTCACTTAAAAAGTCTCGCATAAACTCTTGAGGCAATTGGGGGTGGTGAGGTAAGGGGTCATTTAAATATATTCTGAAGTCTAGGGGAAATAGTTTCCCAAGCACTTCTCCCACAGCCCTTTGTAAGAAACAGAAACCATCCTGCTAGGAGAAGCAAGCTTATGTTAATGGCCACATTTTCATTCCAAGACCACCTCAGCTGGAGACGAAATTTATTACTCAGATATGATATATGCTATGCTTCTCCCCAGTCTCCACTGAAGGTCTTCTCCTTTAACAAGAGGGAGGTAAGCACATGGCGGCTGGAAGTTTGTTATTAAATTGTAATTTCAGGAGGTGGGGTGTGTATAGGGGGGAGATCCAATTCATTCACAGCTCATTTATTTTCATTC